ATCCAAAATATTCTAGTGAGGGTATATGGAGTTTAAAAACATAGTGGAGTACTTCTTGCATCACAAAATGGAACCAGAATGGAGTATTTTCTGTTTGAGAAAAGAACACATCTTAAATATGCGGGGTTTGTGTGTTAAACATCGGAATGAAACAAAACACAGCTCCAGGACTGTTTGTGATGCTTTGAACAATATTATAACATAGATCAAAGTAGAAGTAGTGCAATATGGGACTTTTAATATATAGGAAAACAGTTCAAACTGGGACAAAAAGTTGCATTTAAAAGTTTTGCGGTAGTATGAAGTCACTCATTTGTAATACAGTCTATTTCGGAGAAGATTTATCCACAGAGCTGGTTCACCATGCCAGATACCCAAAAGCATTGTTGGAAAGGAGCCATGATTGTCGTTTGGCTGCGCACGGGCTACGGCATCTCAAAGCTGTTTCCAGACTGATGTCTCCTCATGAAAATTTAATGAACAAAGTCTTCTCCCCAAAAAGGTGATGTTTATGAGAGTAACGAGAGACACTAATTAGGCGTATCACAACAGCGGAAGGAAGAGTCAAGGTGCGCATAAACCTCCGAGGAATTAGCAAGTCATGTTCTGCAGATTAAACAGTCCGCTGAGAATGCCATTTTATTTTATCTCAAAAATCCAAATTTAGCCGTTGCCAAATCAGTGCAACAAGTTTTACAGAAATAATAATAATAATAAAAAAGGAAGAAATATAAAAAACAGAGAAAGTATCTTACGTGTCACACTGCTCACTGTAAGAGATACACAGGAAAAAGTTTAACGCAACATGGTGGGACATCTGACTTGAAGCGATAAAATCTCCATGAAGCCAAGCTGGTTGTGAACCCTTCTACAGAAGAGTTACATTGTACAGATTAAAGAAGGTGTCGGATACCAAATGCTGTATCGCTTTGAAATTTTACCACTATAGCAAAAGAAACCTTAAATTACGTCAACTGAACAAAAGTTGTAAAAACAAGACGCATTTACAGTTTATTTTGTCAGCTTTACAGAAACTGCAAACAAATAGGTGTGTTCATTTCAGTATAGATCAGCTCTTTCCTTCAGATAAATTTAAGGCAATGTCCAGAACCAGAACTTGGAAGGTCCAAAGAGGTTCATTTGGTCTACCGATAATTTTGTTTATTAGATTATTTTTTCCGACTAAGCTTTATATATATGATATCGGACGTACACTGTGTGATATTTTCGATCATTTCACTCAGCCCCAGCTCCAACTGTAAGACCAGATCGCAGGGTTTAAAAGTTCACAGCTCACGATTCATGTTCTCACCCTACACAAACTACTTCAACAGAGCAAAACCCTCACAAGAGGAGACTGGATTTCAAACAAGTTTAATATTCTTGTATACTTACGATCGGGAGCTGGTGACGTATTAGTCAGTTCTCGTTACCCCATGTTTACTACACAAAGCACGACACACGATTAAGTGAAAACTAGACCTGATCCTAAAAACCATCACACAGGTGAAAAATCTGCTCAAAAAGGGCCAAAAATCACATAGTGTAGGCCCGGTGTGGTACAGGATTTTGACTCCGCGGTGAGGTGACCCCGGGGTCAACATACCATACAGTATTTTGACCCCGGGGTCAGAATCCTATTATGGCATGTTGACCCCCCTATAGAATATTGACCCCCCCTATGAAATTCTATATTTTATTAAGAAAGAACTTGAATTCTATAGAAAAACTTTGAATATTAACAGTATATCAGCAAAATAAAACATATTGACATATTTAAAAGTGTTTTTTGAATAACTTGGATGCATTTTTTATGTTGATTATAACTTCTGAATGTTAATAATTACTTATATTTTACTGAAAATGAGATAAGTAGTTATTAGTTAGGTAATCAAAGTGATGTATAATGATTTGGAATCTTGTTAAAATTGACAGGGGTGATCAGTTGAGTAGTTAAATAGGAGATACCTATGACTGAGTAATCTGACCCCTCCAATATGTTTATTATAGTTATTATGATGTAAAGTAAGAAGTAATGTTAGTTGAATATTGACAACGATCTGTTATATATAAAGGAGGTCAAAATCCTATGACTATAGTAAATCTGCCCCTCCAGTATGTTTATTATAACACAACATGACTAAATTCAAAGTCGTTGTCCTTACAAACCATTGCCTAAATTGACATTATGATTAAGGATTATCTGAACATAGCAAACCAAAAATCATAACAATGTAAAATACAATATAAAAAGTGACGAGATTGCTATGTATATGCAATTTTAACAGTACGTAACATTTACACAAAATACCAAGTCGTTATCCATCAAAAGATTCCTTAAAATACCTCAAAAGAAAGTGAATATGTAGCAATATATAATAAAAGTACTTTAGATGAGAAATAATGATCATATAAGTAACTACTAAAGAAAAAATTAAGGGAAGTCAAAATCCTATGGGGGGGTCACTTTACTATAGTGGTATGTTGACCCCAGGGTTAGTATATGGGGGTCAAAATACTATCTCACACCGCTTTAAGGTTTTCGTACCTGACTGTTTTGACTGCGCACTAGTGGTCAGGAATGAAAACAAACTAAACCTTGGTCGGAAAAAAAGAAACTAATAACATACAGAATTTTGACAATCTGCGAAACATCTTCAATCTAAAACTTTTGTCAGTTGAAAGAATAAAAATTTTCTTTTGCTATGGATCTTACATGGACAGCCAAGATTACACCGTTGTTTTACCACTGGTTGTTACTGCTGACATAAACTACTACTGTTGAGTTAATTAGCTACATTTATTAGCATCCAACACTGTCAAGAGTAGATCTGCAAGTTGAGTCTCTCTGTGACAAAGAGGGAGATCTATCACTGCGTGTGGTCCGTTTGTGCGATTTATGTAAATACACAGACTTTTAAGATCATTGCGTTTGAGGCAGAGCTGCTTTAGTCTTTTGTCTCCCTGTACAATGACATTATCTTGTCTGGCATCTCATCTTACACCACACAGCACAAAGCCACCTGCCTTCATCAAACAACATCAGAGACACACCTCGCTGAATACAATGTTGCCGTTTCTATTCACTCATTAATCTATGTGCATCTCTCTGTGTCGTTTTCAAATCCTTTTTGTCCATTTTTAAGTCTGTCCCTGAAACTGTGAATGAGTAAAGGTTCTAAACGAGACATATTGTGCAATTTTCGTGTTATATCCTCAGAAAATACATGCCTGGAGTTGTGCTTGTTTTATTCATGCACGCTTCAGTAATCTTCCATAGTCTAATAGTCACCCCACCTCCTTGTTTTTCAAGTTTACACACCTTCTAACTAGCTACCATTGATTTGAGTTTTTTTTACAAACCGCTTCACAACGTAAATGGGCCAGAAGATGCAATACAAGCACCCTTCAACGGCATTTTGTACTGACACATTTTACGTATTTTTCTATTCAAATGATAGGAAACAGGCAAGGTGAGGTACCTAAATATGTTTATAAAAATCTCTGATAGCCTTTGTAAATCAGAATCCCAGGGAAGTTAACCAGGAGTGGCAAAGGGTTAAAGGTGTAACGATATCCGAGTGTCACGATACGATATTGTCGCAGAATGAACCTCACAGTACGATATTTATTGCGATATCATGGGAAAGCTCATGATATGGGGGGGAGGCTCACGATTAGGGATGTAATAATATCCAAATCTCTCTGTATGATATTTTCACAATATACATCTCACAGTATGATATTTATTGCGATATTTTGTGGAGGCTAAACAGCTAAAACTGTTAATATGCAACTTTTTCCTCTTAAAATGCCTTGACAAGACTTAATCCAAAGAACTAAGTCTTAAAAGTGTTTAGAACTGTTATTTCTTCTTGTAGTCTATGCTGAAATAGAGCAAAGGATCATGGTCTATGTAGTTCCCTCTGTCTTTTTTTTTAGCTATTGCTGCACCATAACTCTTCATTTAAGCAAAGAGACTTGTAATTCGATATATTGTGATGGTCCACGATATTATTGTGAGAACTTTGACGATACGATATCACGATATTTCAAATTATTGTTACATCCCTAAAAGGGTTACATTGTCTGGGGGCAGAAGGAACTTACTGAGGGCATAATTGGACCTTTTTCCTATTATTTTTTATTATTTATTAGGAGGGGCCGTGTGAGCCTACTGACCATGGGCCCCAAAAAGTCTGTCAACACCTAAGCAAACTAATTTTTAAAAGAAAATACATGATAAACATTAATACTAAAACTAATCAATGCCACTGACACAATAACCCATAAAGCAAGACTATCCCCCCAAAATAATCAGAATGTACAATATTGTTAGGAATAAAAGGTCTAAATGAAATGCTTTTTAGTATGGATGTAACAGTAACTGAAATATCGTGATATTTTGTCATCAAAAGTCTCACAATAACATCATGGGCTGTCACAATATATCGAATTACAAGTTTCTTTGCTTAAAAGCATGGTTTTATAGTAACAACAGCTTATTAACATAGGGAACTACATATCCCATGATTCATTTCAGTGCAGACAACATGAAGAAATATGTTTTTTACTTGAATTCTTGGGATTACGATGGAAATAATTCACATCAGAATCTTGTCGAGGTACTTTAAAAGCAGAAACGTGCCCTATCTACAATAACATTAGCCTCTCCAAAATATCGCAGTAAATATCGTACCAAGAGATTTGGATATCGTTACATCCCTACTTTTAAGTACTTAGTTTGTACCTATAATGAGTAATAGAAAGAATTTATTTGATCCTTTAAAGCTCAAATCTTATCATAGTACAGAAAAATTACAGACACTTCAACAGTAGTACAAAGAAAAAGTACCAAGATAAATATTGACCCCCAAAAATTGTTTTGTTGATCATATATTGAACAATAAGTCAATATAGTAATAGTAAGCCTATAAAAACACAGACACCATTCTTCTATCTCAATACAGGACTTCTCTAACTTTATCATCTTCTTGCAGAGGACCAATTGCCCCAGGGTTTCCCCACCATAGACATGGGCCCACAGCTCAAGGTGGTGGAGCGGACTCGCACTGCCACCATGCTCTGTGCCGCTAGTGGTAACCCGGACCCAGACATCTCCTGGTTCAAAGACTTTCTGCCCGTCAATACCACCAACAACAATGGACGCATTAAACAGCTCCGATCAGGTAGGTCTCCTGTACTCTTTTACCAAACTGGTGTCCTCTCCCTCTTTCTTTCTCTCAGCTCTGCTCCCTCCCGTCTCCTCTCTCATCTTCTCTTCTTCCCATGATTTAACGTTACATTTGGCTTTTAATTTTATAGGTATTGGCATTCGTTTCTACTTCCTGTTACGTCTTTCTGTACACCCTGGTGTGTGTTGTCCGTCTTGTCTTCCAGTATTTTGAATGGTCTTTTTGGGATGTGGCCCCTGTTTCTGTCTCACTGGCTTCTGCTCTAACCTGTGCGCTCATTGATCACTGCTGTGACCAAGAAATTCTGTTGCTGATTTCTGTTGTATTTTACTTTGTTTTTACGTTCCACTGCATTGGTGCAGTGTTTTGGATCCATTCAGCCATTTCTTTTGTTTTATTTGAAGGATTAATATTCAACACTCACGCTGAGGAGTGATGAAAAAATAAATAGGAAAGAATAGCCTAATACAACTAACAAATATGGATTTCATAATTTGCTGTGATATTTCTGAATACGGCTAAAAGACCAATCTTTACATTGACTTGGTTGTTTTCAGAAGGTTCAGAACTCATTTTGAACATGAATCATAGTGGTGTGTAAATGCCAGACAGCAGCTTTGTCTTTCCCCTTTCATTATTACTACAGCAGCCTTTGCTTGAGGGTTAAGCCCCCAGCTTCCATTTTCTTTGCCTACAGCTTACCCCAATATCCAGAGGTTCTTCTTAAGTGCAGTTTAACAGCCAAGCTAAACTACTTAAATCCTTGTATGTTGGACCACCTGTCTTCAGATTTCACAGCTGTCCTTTGTTAATTCATGTTAATTCTTGTTAACCTTACTGCTGGCTTCTATTAACTGATCTGTGTAGAATTAACCCTGATTTTAATGTAGAGTTGATTAAGTTTTAACAGAACCATGTTAACTAAACTTAACCTCTAAGAATATAATCCTATTCTTATGCTGTCTTTCTTTTCTCTGTATTTTTAAATCTACAGAATCCTTTGGTAAGTGCTTAGCTCTAAAGCACACATCACCCCACTAATTTCCATGTTTCCAACAACTATTAAAATGCATGGCATGGACTTACTAACAGCAGGTTTAGTCAGAGGGCTGCAGGCACACTGTCCTGTCACTAGTGTAACTGTCCAGCACTGCCAGTGCACATTAGCCCTGTAGGGTTAGCGTTAGTATCACAGACTTACCAGGGTAACCTTACATTTGTGTTACTCACTCACTGACCCAGCTACTCACAACTCACTTGATCTTTTAACACCACACTGTAGTTATGGAAATGTCTGTGTTCAGGGAGGTGGCCACTTTGACATAGCTCAGTATGAGGGATGTGTTTAAACAAATGATCTTATTCTCATACATAACCTGACAATACTCCTAAATGGCCCCTCCCCCAGTACACGGTACAATGACCTTTGACCTATGGTTTCTGATGAGTCCTGTCTCTCTGCCAATAGACTTGAGCAAACCTCTCTATGCTCTCTGTGCTCTCTCTCTATTTACGTGCCCTGTTAAATCTAATTTGATTCTTCTTCCAAAGCCCCCAGCCTCTATCTACACGTACTAATGCTTCTTCTTTCTAATCTTATTTGCATTCATATTATCCACCCAGGTGGTACACCAATAAGAGGTAAGAGTGCTGAACTGACGTTCACAGAATGAAAATAATACAGATTCATTCTTGCTGTCAATCCATCCATTCAGTCGAATCACCTCCATTTCTGTCCTGTTTACTGAGTCCAAATCCCATTATGTTCATCGGGACCTTCCTTATTTGTCCTGTTTCGTTCCACTAAATTTGTATTCCATTTTTTGTCTCTGCTTTATTTCCTCCTTTGTATTCCGTTTAAGAGCCTGTTAAGCTCACTTGTGATATGCTTGCTCTGGCTCAAATAAGCATATCCAATGACAACTATTTTTTTGAAGTATATATTTTTTTTCTGTTCATTTTTTATTTCTTTTTGGCCATAGCGAATCATGTGTCCCTCTTTTTGTCCAACTAAAACAACCAACATTTTTCCCCCTTAGCTGTTCTTGTTCAGCACTAAAAGTATGCACAGATGCTGTGGAATCACGCAGGCATGCTGACGACAACATTGCCTCTCCTCTGCTTTTTTCTCCCAAAGAATTCTTTCTATCTTTGCCAGCTTTTTCCATTCTTCTATTTGCTTTCCTCTCCTGTACCTCTACAAAAAAGCCCAAACAACCACTTTTTTGATAAAGTTGATAAAGGTGCTTTTTTCTCTTTCACCTATTTTTCTTACTTTTCTTGGGTTTGAGGAATATTTTACTTTTTGACTTTTTTTCTTCAGGGTTTGGGAAAGGCAAACTGTAGAGTCTGGCGAGGACCCGATTGGCTCATTTTTGCCTTTGTCAAGGAGCTGGAGAGTTGTTGATGCATACAGTTATTTTTCCTGGTCATGTGACACCACACTGCTGATCCCATTGGTGGATTTTTATGGGTGTCTTTTGTAGCTGTTTCAGCTAAAGCAGTGGTTGGTTACCTTCTTGTTGGCTCAGGCCGATATTTTGAATTTTGTCTTCTAATACAATTGCATTTTATTTTTCAGCTAAGGGTTGTCAGAAGGTTGTAAGTTGCGTCGACATACATTTCTTGCTAAGATTTGCATGTCCGAAACTTTTGTTTCAGAGGGTTCGTTTTGGTTGGTTTTACTTTAAACTATACTTAATATTTTTTAAATAAATGAGCAGCATTTTTCTATTTTTGTACACGCTGCCTTTTTTGAACAAATTGATAGATTGATTAAACCTGATCTGTGATTGAATATGCTAAAATTCATACCTAAATTCCTTTCTTTCAATTGTCTCCCCTTGTTATGCTGCTTTCTTCTATTGTAAACCTCTTTTGTTTGATCCATGTCTCCCTTAAGCAGACTCACTCATCCCCATATTGACCAGTCCAGTGATATGTTGTATATTCAAGGGTTTGCCCCTGACTCCACTCAAATGATTTTTCACATTGGCTCGAAGATGAGTGTCTGTTTAGATTTCTATGTGACTATCCGTTCTCGATATAAATTACATAACAGAGACAGAAGATGACATATGTTTTCTGTTTTACGTTTGTCATTTTCTATTTCGTTGTTACTTTAGGTTGATATGAGAAGCAATATATTTGTTCTGCGATGTCTTGCATGATTACAATTTGCAGCAAACCCTCACTTGTAGTTGGATTACAGTCTCCACTTTGCCTCAGCAAGTGGCTCAGGCTGTGATGAGGGCTTTACCAAACAATAGACTGTACAAGCAGATTCTCAAAGTGGCGCCCAGTCAAGCTAAAAGCGCAAAGCAAAACTAAAAATGAACGGGGCTTCTTTTTACTTTTGCTTGCCAACTTTATGTACCACCGGTTTTAACCATGTCCACCCTACTGCCCCATGTGTTATTCCCAACCAGGAGCGCTGCAGATCGAGCAAAGCGAAGAATCTGACCAGGGCAAGTATGAATGTGTGGCTACCAACAATGATGGCACGCGCTACTCCGCTCCAGCTAACCTATATGTCAGAGGTAAGAAAGCGCATCAACAAGCAATGCATGTGTATCGTATATCTCCAAAAATAACTACATGATAATTAGAATTTAACTGGTGGATAAAGTCTGCAGTGATCTTATTCTGCAGTGTTGTTGTGAGTATGCTGAGTGGGTTTGTTTTTGTTTTTTTGCACTGAACTTACCCGCACTGATTTGAACCTTAAAGTTGCACTGTGTAACTTTTGTGGTGGAGGTTCTGCCACCAGCTTGTCTCCATGGAGATGTTATTGCTTAGCCTGGTATGCTCCACAGTTTGGCGTTAAGCATATCTATTTCCATGGTAACAGGCAAGTAACGTTATCAGACCAAGTCAGAGTCCTGCACCAGGACTCACTGAGAGTCAGAACTCCGAGCCCGTGGAGCAGGGTGTCTGCAAAGCACGATCGGCCGACAGCTGCGCTTAGCTCCGTGCCAGTTCGCCAGCGGTCACCTGACTCTCTATGTGGGTGCACTTCCGGGTCCAACCCAACAGTCTGTCCTGGTTCAGTTCTCTTTTAGTCCTGTTTTAGTCTTATTTTAGTCCTTGTTTAGTCCTGGGTTAGTCCCGGTTCAGTCCGTGGCGTGTGCAGCACAAAAATGCAGCATCTCGATCAATGTTTCTTCTGCTCAATAAATAATACCTGTGAAATGATGACGTATTTTTGACAGTAGAGTGAGTCGCGTCTGTGAATTCGTATTCGTACTGAAGAAAGCGTAATCGTTTCATTTCATTTTGTGATTGTAATTCTTGACGTCGCAACTTTTCAATTCGTATTCTGATAGATAAACCATGTACAATACATTTTATGTACGACTGGACTAATTTGAGAGTTTATGAATATGTATTTTATGCTCAACTACAGACAAATATGCACAGATTTTTCAAATATGCACAGATGCATTTCTATCCTATGCATGCGAATATTTCTGAAAGCTTTCTTACTCCATACTATTGCCTACACAAACTACCTATTCAGACCCCATTTAGTGTCGTTGTTCGTTAAGAGGCACATTGAAAAAAATAAAGTGCTTCAGTTAGAATGCTTTTAATTTGTGCGTGATTTATCACGGTCATGGGCGGGTAACGGGTGGAATGTTAACGGGTCCGAGCAGGTGAGGGTTTAACTTTGATATATTCACGGGTTAAAGGGTGGGTGTGGTGTTGTACTGCGTGGGTGCGGGTGGGTGCAGTACTCTGGACCAAGTTACAGGACAGATCTATGGAAATGTTACCCTGCTGACATCAATGCATATTTTTATTGAACATATGGACAATAAAAACACCTGTACTTGGATTTAAATGTAAGATTAAAGTTTGGTGTCATACTATGGAACATTCAAGACAAAGCAATATCATCTCCATGGAGACAAGCAAGTGGCAAACCCTCCACAAGAAAAGTTACACAGTGCACCTTTAACTACTGATCTTTAAAGATTCTGGCCCTTACTTGACCTACCAAACCAATATGAAGAATGCATATTATGTTATTATATGATTACTAGTGGATGGCCCTTAAAATCAGTCCTCATTCTTTCCCAATAGCGAACCCCTCTTGGCCCCCCTTCCTCATCAAACTAGAAGGACTTATACAATCACATTTTTGTTATGAAAGAAAAAAAAAAAATTGGTTCAGAACATTTTGAACAATGGTTATTTAACAAAATCGAAATCTTTTTTCATATTGTTATAATGTCTTACTATTCAAATTTTTGCATTGTAATACTTTTACCAGTCTGAGCCCAGTTGCTGTGACAGGCAGCGACAGAATTAAGTTCTTACCAATACAAGGTCCTTCAAAGTGTGGCATCTGAACACCTTTTACTCTCTGTGTTTTCCTTGTTTTTCTCCTTTCCTTTATTTCTTAATTTTGCATCAAATTCCTACATTCCTCAGAGCTTCGAGAAGGTTGGTGTTTTTACTTTTAACACAAATCAAGTTTATGTATACTGCAAGAAATCACTGTTGAAAATATAAAGGTTCATGATCTATTATTTTTGGTCACCATCTTTTCTAATTTAAATACATACAAGTTTACTCTTTGGTTGAAAGCCATACATCATACTGCACATTGAGTCCCTGTCTAAATGCTTGCCTGTCTAAAATGTGGAGCATGTTTGCATCTCTGATGCGGGCCCTGGACCAGATTTGCCTCTGTGGGATGGGCCAATTTGCATGTTTTCTTGTTAATGCTTGATCTGTCCCTCCCTTGTCCCCTGAACCCTTTCTCTTGTCTGTGGTCCTGACTGAAAATAAAAGCACACACAACAGCAAACATGCGACCAGCAAATACAGTTCAAGTGCTGTCCAAGGACGTCACTACTAGGGTTGTAACATAAGTAATGACTGTGATGGTAAGTAGTAGTAGTAGTAGTGTGATGAGTACTATTACTAAGGCTGGAGTTCTTACTTTATTTTTTACTTATTTTTTTGTTCAGTGGCACATATTAAAAGCCTATATAGTTTATTCTTAAGAAAGCTAATAATCCTTAAAAAGACAAAACAGAATCCATTCGAAGATTTTGAAGTGATTATTTCTGCCATATGGGCCAGCCCTATTAGTGCAATTAAAACTAAAATGAATAAACTTTTAAAATCAATAAATGTTGTTAGCAGAGCAGCCAATGGTAAAACTGTTGTATTAGCAAATATTGTACATGGCAGCAATCGATGTAGTACTACTAGGAATACCATTTTCTTTTTTGATATGGCAGTACCTATTTCACCTCTGCTCCTGAGTTCACACTTAAATGTTTAAACAGAAGTGTTCTTGTTTGAGATCAGAATAAAACTAAATCAATAATTCACCATTTGAGAAGTTAGAAAGTCAAGTGCCAAGATGTAAACGCAACCCGCCCCGCGAGATTACGCACTTCCAATGGTGAGGATGTTTCTACAGGAATTCATGAAAGAGTAATGCAGCACCGCCCACAAAACATGACAAATGTAAAATGCAAATGAGCAGGATAATGTTGGGTCTATGGGGAGCGTCAGCCAATTCCATATTAATTAAATATTGAAGATGAGAACGCAGTTAATAATGCAAACAGTTCCTCTAGATTTACTCCCTGGAGATTTGCGTCTGCTTTGTGAATTAGCAGACGGGAAACACCAGACTGGATTGCATTGAATTGTATCCTCGAGTTTTTGAAAGTTCACTGAAAGAATCAACACTTAGTATTCAGATTAATACACTAACTTTTTGTGTGCTTTAACCTTGATATTTTCCCCTACTTCTTAAACAAATATTCAAATAAATTACCAAGTTTTCAGTGTCTTAGCACTAACTTACTATGTATTTTGTGTCTAACCTTGTCATCCTGTTTTAACACGTGGCCCTTACCCCTACCCTTGTGTGCATGCTAACCTCTTTTCCCTATAGGTCTCAATGTACACTATGGATGCTATGGATTGTTATTTAGTTGGATCACTAGGGCTGTCAATATACAAAATTTTATTATACTTACATTGTATTGTATATGTTATAGTTAGGGCTGGGCAAGTTAACACGTTAATTTTCTTTTAACTAATTAATTCATTATCACCGACAGTTATTTTTCTCCCGTTAGTGCAGTTATTATTATTAATTGTAAGCGTCTGTTGCTCACTGGCTTTTATTTTGAAAAAGTCCATCATGAGTGAGCCTAGAATGTCTCTTACTGCTGCGGCGCTCACAGTAAACAGAGGGAAAGAAAGTGGGATAAACAAACATGGAGAAGGGTAAGGAACTTTTACATGGCCATTTTCATTTTAAAGTTCTCCCAGGCGGCGCAGTTGACACAGCCAAAGTCATTTGTAACACTGCAACACTGAATTGTTTTATCACCGAAGTTTCAGGAGTCTGACAACACACTCGGTTGGTGTATTTCCAATAAAAGTCCACTATCGCTACTTTTTAATTCATTAGTTGGTTTTGCGTATATCATGCGATTAATCATGATTAATCAGACAAACTCATGTGATTAATATATTTTATTTTTGCCCAGCCCTAGTTATAATGTAAATATATATACATTAAACACAATGAACAATATCTATGGGTAGAATCACATATTAGTCTGATAAAAAAGTACATTGTATTTGATGGCCCTAGTGTATAGCCTCAACCTAAAATGAGTAAAATAAATCTTCTTTGTTTTATGTGTGGACCTCTGGCGTACTCTTTTGTGGCGTGATGTGAGAATGTGTTGGGGCACATTATTTCACATCAGCTGGAAGTAGACAGCCTCAAGCACTGTCAACTCTCCACTCCTCTCTATACACAGCTGTATATTAAGAGTGACGCAGTATGCTGTGCATGTGTGTATGTGCTACCGTGACTACTAAATCAAATCTGAATACAAGATGTCAATTTAACATCTTATCCTCATTTTTGCCAACATTCCCGAGGTCGCTTGTTTACACGTTCCCTGGTCTTTTGCAGTCCGCCGGGTGCCACCGCGTTTTTCTATCCCACCCACTGACAATGAGATCATGCCGGGCGGGAGTGTCAATATCACGTGCGTGGCTGTGGGGTCGCCCATGCCGTACGTCAAGTGGATGCTGGGGGCAGAGGACCTGACGCCGGAAGACGACATGCCCATCGGACGCAACGTGCTGGAGCTCACCGATGTCAGACAGTCGGCCAACTACACCTGTGTGGCCATGTCTACGCTCGGAGTGATAGAGGCAGTGGCGCAGATCACAGTCAAAGGTAAGCAAAATATACATGAATAAAACAACTTACTTAGATTAGATGTCATTCATGCGTGCTTCAGTAATTTAGTGATCGTTCCCAGGTCCTATTTCAACCCTCCTTACAGTTAGCTATAAGTTTCTGTCCAATGCTGAGCTCACATGTTTACGTCATCCAGTGGTGGTTCTAGGATTTTTTTGAAACAGGGGCCATTAAGGGGCCACATGTTACATTCAGGGGCCAAGTACAGGGTACATCCAAGCACACAAATGATTAATTCAGTCCAGTGCAAATACACACATAGACAGTAAAAAAAAGTCCTCCACAGGTCTGTTTCTTCTCCTATTAAGTTGTATTGATGCAGTAGGTCTACTGCCCCCAAGAGTTAGGGCTGGAATTGCATCAGTGATCATTGAATTCTCTGGTTGTTCTTCTCGTCTCTTCTCTTCTCTTGTCGTCAGTTGATTGATAGAATAGGGGCAATTCAGGGGCCAATCAGATTAGCAGTGGGGCCAGGGTCCTTGTGGCAACTCCCTTAGAACTGCTCCTGACGTCATTCATGCCCCCACATGACAGTTCCCCATAAATATACAAAAGCATGATACAAAACAGTTCACGGCAACTTGACAAACCTGATGCCATGTGCAGTAGTTTCATTAGCACACTGATTATGTTATGATAGTGTTCTAAACAAGGAGTGGCTTAGTATGGAGAACAAAAGGAGGGGAGATTCAGAGTGTCAAAAACTAAAGTGAACCTCATAAAACATGCTAATATATTGCTTTATGTGAATGTCGCATTTTTAAAACAAAATAATGTGGTGATTTAAATATGTTATGTGTTAGCAGTTCATACCCCATGGAAGTAAAATACCCCCTCTGATCTATACCAATAACCACTCTACTACTAGTGCTATATAGTACTGAAGCCATTACTGGGGTAGACTGATGCAAACATGAATTATAAATACACATCTTCCAACAACCACATTCTTACATAGGTAGGTGGGTTAAGTATCATAATCCTAAACAGTATGGTAACATGTTTATGGGCAACCAGTCTAACTAAAATAATGCCCTAGATTTTAATGGCAACTCAAAGCCATATACAGTACATTTTTCATTCACTCCATGCTCTGTGATGATTAGCTACTTCTATAAACATTACTGCCCCGGGGTAGACTGTTGGAGTTGAAGTGTCTTGCCCCAGAGACATGATGTAGAAACACCCTGTGTAAAACCTGTAAGATGCCGAGGATTATGCTGTAAAAAATACAGCATAACCCATAGTATTGATATGCATTTAAAAAATGAAAAAACGTCGACAGCGAAAATAAAATTAACTCCAAACTTCTTGCTGTTCTGTACATCTCTGTCGAAGAAATGCACACACTGAGCTGGCAGAAAACGGTGGCAGTTCTTTAAAGAAACTTATTTCCTTCACATCCTGTGATAAGTCATCTCCGAAGGACTGCAGAAAGCTTCAGACCAGCCCTGGCACCAGCTTCACTGCATTAGATCCAAGATTGAGAATTTAGCGAAATGTTTATCTCGCGGCTAGATATCTGTAAAGCCACAAGCTTGCTGTTTTGGTTTGCTAGCAGTAGAAGTGACACAGGAGGGAGGTAAATACAGCATCTAGTGTCCCATGTAGGCTGCCGTACTTATCTTTTGAAAATCATATCAGCTGTATGTGCTGGAAAGATATCGCCACCAACATACACGAGGGGGCTTACACACTGCTGTGCTTTGTTTTCCCAGGACATAACATAGATATTAGTCACAATATAACTGTCTGGCTTTCGGCTCCCCAGAAGCACACTTCACATGGCATATAAAGACAATCTATTGCCCTGATATCTGCCGCCATGTGCCACGGTGAGGGGAATTAAAGCAATAAATTTACCTTTTAAATTATTAACGTTATAAACACTGGGAAAATGGGAGATTAACGACAGCAGGGCCTCCAGCAGCTGTGCCTGGACTGGTGCATTATTTTATGTACAGTATAAATGCATTGGTTCAGTGTTTTCTTAGTGTAAATGTGAATAGGCAGTGTTAAAGATTATAAGCCTCCTTTAGGAATATTATACAGAACAGTACATCATCAATATGGAAAGCAGTGAGCTGGTAAATGAACGGAAGCAATAAACTTCAACACTCAACAAATTAAAAGAGGTCTCTATGGCTTACAACACTGAATTAATCTACTTGGTCCAACTGAGCAATATTTGTGATTTTTTTTGTTTTATTACAATTTATGTAACTTTGATTATGCAAGCCTTGCCTCAGGCTCCCAGTGTGCCTAAGGCGACTAAAATGGATTTAAATGCTACTGGCAAAAGCAATAAGTTGAATCAATAGGTTGATCCACCTATTCAGCTCCATCAAACAAAGAATTCAAACGGTGTCTTTGCCTGGGTCACATGAGTTTGTGTAGAAAAGGTTTACAAGGCCAATAATGTACAAAAGCAGACAGCAACTTTTATTCCACTATCATAATCAAAATAAATGAGTAAATTAGTACTCATTTATTTTAGACATAAAGACAATGCTAAAAAAATCCCCAAAAGTCTAACAAAATAAAATATTCATAAGATTGTTTTCTGAGGTATTGCAGTTGTAAGAAAACATCATCTTAGTTATTGTTATTTTGTGGTAACATTGTAGTACTTGAGGTATTAGTAGTATGGGCATTTCAGTTTGCAGCCCAATGCTCCTTTTAAATTATCTCCGTATCAGCCTGAGTAATGTTTCTGTATGTTTCTGTTTTTAGCATTGCCCAAGGCTCCTGGCGTCCCCGTTGTGACCGAGCGAACAGCCACGAGCATCACCCTCACATGGGACTCCGGGAATCCCGAGCCGGTCACCTATTACATCATTCAACACAAGTCCAAGTATTCCGACGACAACTACAAGGAGATTGATGGAGTCGCCACCACACGGTACAGCGTAGGGGGCCTTAGTCCGTATTCCGACTACGAGTTCAGAGTGGTAGCAGTTAACAACATTGGAAGAGGGCCACCCAGCGAAATCATCGAAGCCAAAACCGCCGAACAAGCACCAAGCACGGCCCCAAAGCAGGTTCGCGGGCATATGTTGAGCGCCACGACTGCTGTTATCCACTGGGACGAACCGGAAGAACCCAACGGACAGATCACGGGATACAGGGTCTACTATACCATGGACTCAACGCAACATGTTAATCTATGGGAGAAGCAAATAGTCAGAGGGTCCAACTTCGTCACTATCCAAGGTCTCATTCCCAATAAAACCTACTACATCAAAGTACTGGCTTACACTTCAGTGGGTGATGGACCTCTTTCACCGGATCTCCAGATCATAGCCAAAACAGGAGGTGAGCGAAGACTAGTTGTTATCAATGCATAATTACTGTAAAACTCAAACACTTTCGCAATTCTTTGGTGTCTGATCCTCTACCCTCATTAGCGGGTAGTTGCGAAAACATCAGGTAGTCGGTGCAACCCTTGATCGCACCAATCTGACTATTGAAAATAACTTCTTGAACAAAGTTTTCTCCATTATTTTTGCTTGAAAGAAACCAACTTCTGAGTTAGAATGTAGCACTAGTTGAAAAGTTGAGTCCACAAAGCAGCATCTGTGTTTTGGGTTTTAATGGTTTTATGTCTAAAAAGTATAACAGGACTAATGAATGTTTCCTCTGATTGTAATTCCAGTTCCCTCCCAACCGACTGACTTCAAAGGGGAAGCCAAATCAGAAACAAGCATCTTACTTTCATGGGTCGCACCAGCTCAGACTGGACAGGAGAACCAGATCACAGGATATGAGCTGATGTACAGGAAGAGGGACGACAAAGAGGAGGTAAGGAGTAAAAGTAAAAGATTATCTGGAGTTTTTCACTAGTGTGGTTTTGGTTTTGAATGACGGTCTGCAAAAACATTCTATAGACCAATAATATTTAGACAGGCCAACATTAAAATGCAGATTTATGTTGATATATAGAGAGTTCTAGGATCTAGTCATAGATAGAAATTACCAGGTGACATTAGTAGTAATTGTAGTATTAGTTGTAGTAGCAAAAGTTATAGTATAACAGTATTAGTAGCAGTAGCAGAAGTTGTAGTGTTGTGTATGATTTTTTTGTTGAACTCAAAAAAGTTTTAAAGTTTAAACTGTTCTAACAAGTCTCAAGGAGTTGTTGATTGTCCCACATTAGTCAGTGGAACCTGACAGAGTGCCACTCTTTGCCACAGAAACGCATCAGTTTTGAACCCACTACCACGTACCTGCTGAAGGACTTGAAGCCCTTCACAACTTATACTTTCCGGCTGGCTGCTCGCAGTAAACATGGAGTGGGAGCTTACACCAACGAGATCTCTGCTGAAACCCCTCAGACACGTAGGTCCTCTTCCTTATCTGACAGAGCTTTAAACGCTTTGGAACGGAACACATTTTCAAATGCATTCCAAACTTTACGCGTGCCGCAAAATCCCCTCAAAAGTGATAAAAATGTCACAGAGGTCTTGACTGCTGATAAGAAAAGTACAGTTTTTTCACCTATACATTTGATGCATTTGAAAATAGTTGAAATGTAAACACTGGAGGTAGTAAATAAGTGTTTCTGAAGTCTACGTGACCATGCAGTGTTCACTTTGAAAAGGTTGCATGGACAGCGTACACGGGCTTTCTGTGAAGTTAGGAGACAAGGTTAGGAAAACTTAGCTCCCTCCACCTTTGTTGTGAGAAATATTTTGACCCAAATGAGTGATGGGGGTTTCAAATGTTTATTTTAAACACACAGTTGTGAAATAAAAGGCCATGATTGGTCTGTATAGGCCTTGTCTCTTGGCATTGCAAGTCAGCCTGTATGCATATGCATTGAACTTTCTATGGAGAAAACTTTTCTAATGAAGCTACACCAACAGATATACTTACAAAATAGTGGCTTCATCATAGAAAGTTCAAAGTATTGGCTATGTAGTTAGGATTTTTTGTACCAGAGATCTCAGGTTTCCAAAGAATAAATGCTTTGAACATTCCCCCAAAACTGAACAATGTTTTCTCCACATATCTTCTATTGATTGAACTGTAGTTGCACTCAATATAAGCCAAAACAAATCTGAGATCTGTGAAAGTCTAGCTGTGAGAGCAGGTAGGCCCAGAGGGTGGGATATGAAGTAAGCAGAAGTGCATGACAATGTTACTATTACATTACTTAATAAGACATGTCTCCTTGGGAAGTTCTCTGTTGTACAGTCAGGCTTTTACCACAAACCAACAGGCTTCGGAAAGGTTGGTGACAAGATTTCTTCTTTGACATAGCTCAAGCATCAACCTTTATGTTTTTGGATTGATGGTAACTGCTTGCAAAGTTAATTTCAGTTGGAATGGTTTATAATTTTCTCAAACTCAGAAAGACAAAATAACATATAGTAATTAGTAAGGTGTATGATTATTTCTTCTGTTTGTTTACTCTATGGCAAAGGTAGGTTACGTATTGAGCTTCCATACATTCATCTCCATTGTGCATTTTGTGTTGGCTCAAGCCTTTAAATTTTTGTTTGTATATTTCTCATTTATTTACTTTATTTATCCTCACAAGTCCCTGTGATGTGTCCTCATTTTGTGTTATTTTTTTCCTTTTATGTTTTGGTTACCTCCACCTCCACCACCATCACCCCTTTCCCAACAAAATCAACTCCAAAATCCAAAAACATCCAATAAATGAAAAATATTCCACTCTGAACTTTGAATTCAAAATGGACTGCACAAATCAGAGCCCTCTGGCCCGCCACAAGACATCCAGTGCTTCAGCCCCACCTCCACCAAGATCCTGGTAAGTTGGCGGCCACCTTCAATGGACTTACAAAATGGGATTATAACCAAGTACGCCGTCCAATACACCGCCATTGATGGAGAGGACACTACAATGCACCAAATCGACAACATCCCCCCCGAAACTACTCAGCACCTTTTGGAAAATCTGGAAAAATGGACTGAGTACCGCATCACCGTGACCGCCCATACAGATGTGGGATCGGGCCCGGAGAGCTTACCTCAACTGGTCCGGACAGAGGAGGACGGTATGTGCCCCTCCCTCAAGCTGCTTAACCCCGCCCCCCTAACAATTACTAACAACCTCTCTGCAACTCGCATCTTCTTGCCTGCTCCTGATGCCAATTTTTGGAACTTTTTTCTAACACAAACTGCGACATTTTTTTCATTTTTTATTTTTTAACTTTGCTGCTCAATTTCAACATATGGTACGGTATTTTCTGAAGCTGGGCCTGAGACTTCCAAATCCCATCTGTCTGTCACTGCAGTATTTTTGAATTTTTTATGGCAGGAAATTTTTTACAGACTTGACTTTTTTGAGGAACTTGGCAAAGTAACAAGTTCCTGACAGTGGGAACAAAATTAAAATGGAAGATTTTTTTTTTTCTTTTTGAGGCCACTTTTGAAAGATTTTGCCACTCATGCAATACAATCATTTTGTATTCATTTTTCCTTGCTCCATAGCCAAAAATTCTTGCGGTGCTTCAAGTCTTTGTGACACTTGAAGCCCAATTTTGGCTCCATTTTTCTATTTTGGCAAAACACATTTTTATTCCATGTTTTGAAAACCCACTCATTTTTACTGTTTCAAGATTAGGTCAGTTGTCAGACCTGTTTTTGCTGTTGTTTTTTCCCTTACCATTGTTGAAATATTGATGTCATGCAATGCCTGTTGCAGTTTGCTACACTTTTGTAATTTTTTTGTCACTGCAGCACTTTCTACTAGAGCAACTGGGCAGAATTTAAGTCGTAGGTGAGGGATTCTCTATAATTTTGACCTTTTTTCTTCTATCCCCATGATGTCCCTCCAGTTCCTAGCGGGCCACCTCGTAAAGTTGAGGTGGAGGCTGTCAACTCCTCATCAATTAAAGTGATCTGGCGTTCACCGACGCCCACCAAGCAGCACGGTCAGATCCGAGGGTACCAGGTGCACTATGTCAGGATGGTTAATGGGGAGCCCACAGGACAGCCAGTCATCAAGGACATCCTGATTGATGACGCCCAGGTACGGCCCCCTCCTCAGCCTGCACCTCATCTCTCACACACCAGAGTGCACTTCTCTCCAACAAACTCTCAAACTCACTGTTAGTCTGTCAGCTAATTAGAACATGAAACACAAGGGAGTTTAATGTATTAATTATACTATCTGAAAATTTGAACAATGGACCAATCAGCATTTACGTATTGTTGGAGGTTTCTTCCACATCTTGTTCTCAATGATTGACAAACAAATTGAAATTTACTAGTTGTTATCTGTGGGTGAGTTTAAAGTAGTACTATACAGAAATGTGTATCCAACCAAATATTATGAGAACATTTTATAACATTTAAACAACACACTAACTTGTGTTGTTGCAATATTGAAAGACTTGATAGTGATATTGCTGTTAATATCAATATTAATAGTAGTTATTTTATATTAAAAATACTAAACCTATATAGGAAACATCCATCTCTGTCCTATTTACTTGATTTTTTTCATATATCAGTACTTGTTCAAATGAGTATCTAGCATGGATACTAGTTTTAGTATCAATTAGGACAATTTTTTGGGTCAAATATACTCTCATCATTAGAGAATCCCATTGCTAATATCACACAAAGCTACTTGATAGACTCACACATAATGTCTGTTTTATAAGAGTGTCTGTCTTTGGCCTAAAGTCTTTTATTCCTTTTTTCTCTCCCGAATCGTTATCACTGCCAGACGGAATATGATGATTCAACTGAACATGTGAGTAGATATTTCTGCTGCAAATTAGAAAAAGGGTAATTGAAAGGGTGCGTTTTAGTGTAATGTTGTTAACGCTAGCATCTTGTTTTTCCAATAACACAAGACCTCCAATACGTTTAGGGAGAACGTTATTGATCGTATGTGAAAGGTTTAAATTCAATTAGAGATCACCGATAACACCACTTTGTTTCCACATCCATTAAATAAAGCCTTATCAAAACTATCCTCTCTCGCTGAAGCATGCCCCAATTTCAAGCATAGGCTCTTGTAATTATGCTACCGTCACGCAGCCTCTTTTATCTCACTCCTATTTTTATGGCCCATTTCTGCAAGTCAGCAAGTAAATGTCCTGCCATTGAAGTCCTCTTTTTCTTCTCACAGGAAATGATCATTTCAGAGCTGCTGGCTGAGACCACGTACTCAGTGACAGTGGCCGCCTACACCACAAAAGGCGATGGTGCACGCAGCAAGCCCAAACTGGTCACCACCACTGGAGCAGGTAAATCTGATGTTTTTTCTCAATAATAAAAAGTGTTCAAAGAATTCAGCAGTACTATGTGTTAATACCATCACCATGTACAAGAATATTGGTTGTTAGTCAATAATAATAGTGATTTTTATACACATGCGGGAGATTGGATTCTGCTGAAATGAATTAGCAATGGTCCAATGTAGATTTATTTTATTTAGTTATGTATTTTTAAGCCAATGACAATATCAGATATTTGTCTTGCTGTTGTGGCCAATAAAAAACCCTTGAGGATACCAATATTAAGCTTAAGCAGTTGTGTTGATTTTTTTGCATTGCATAATTGTGAAAATATATTCCCACATTTTTACAAAAATCTGAGAAATCTGATGCACTGAGGACAAAGTGGGATTAATACATGAGCACACTGAGATACAAAAAAAAAAGGGGCAAAATATAGTCTAAATTTTCAATATTGGATCAATGCCTATAATAGCGGTCTGTGCGGGACAGAATTTTCAGTCCTGCTCCCGCCCGCATCCACATTGTGCAGTCCCGCTCCCGCCCATGCCTGCAACAAATTATAATCCCGCTCCCGCCCGCATCTGCAATATTTTGTCCCGCTCCTGCCCACAAATCCCGCAAGATGGGGACGTTTGCTTTCTTAAACTCTATCAAACACGGGAGAAGCAGAAAGGAATTGTCTAAAATGTGCGAGAGATTAGACCACATCCGCAAGTTTAGGCTGCTTAAAATGTCTTGATTAATGCCAAATAAAATATCCAGCACAAATTATGCATGATAGGCAAACATTAATCATTTGTATATGTTAATTTACACTCACATTTAGTTTGTGGGACTGCAGTTTATTATCCCACCCACTCTCTCATTGTGCAGTTCTGTTTCTGCCCAAGCCCGCAATGAGCTTTCAAAATGTGTCCTGTGCCGCACTGTTTTGCGTCGGGTCCCTCGGGAGTGCAGGGCTCTAAACTATATCTGCTGTAACCAGATATAACAGATAACAACAGCCATCACTGAATTGAATTGTATCAGCCAAAAGTTATATTGAAAGTATTTTATCCAACTATGCCAAAAATGTACAACGTATCACTCAGTTTGTACTGACCACAGTAACAGTATTCTTACTTTACTTTTCTTTCCCGTAGTTCCAGAAAAACCCAGACTCATGGTCAGTACCACCAACATGGGCACGGCTCTCCTGCAGTGGCACCCCCCTGCCTCCACTCACGGGCCCCTACAAGGATACAGGCTCAGATTCGGACGCAAAGATGTAGAACCCCTCACGGTTATTGAATTCCCCGAGCGCGAAAATCACTATACTACCAAAGAGATCCACAAGGGGGCCTCCTATACCTTCCGCCTTTCTGCTCGCAACAAGGTGGGCTTCGGCGAGGAAACGGTAAAAGAAGTTACGACCAATGAGGACGTACCGAGCGGCTACCCTCAGAGCATATCAGCAGAGGGCGCCACCACGTCCACAGTTCAAGTCAACTGGCATCCCGTGTTACTCGCCGAACGCAACGGGAAAATTGTGAAATACGCGCTGCAATACAAGGACATCAACAGCCCGCGCAGTCCGTCTGAACTCTTCATCACCGCCCCAGAGTCCACAGTCGTCCTCGACGGTCTAAGGGCTGACACCACTTATGATATTAAAATGTGTGCCTTCACCAGCAAAGGCTCTGGCCCCTATAGTCCTAGTGTTCAATTCAGGACACAGCCGTTGGATCAAGGTAGGACCAGTGCCGCAATCGTTCCCGCATCCTCTTCACAGCTCTTCTTTCCTTGTCTAAAAACAGCACATCACGACATGCTCTCTCCCCTTTCCTTTCACAAACATAACATTTTAAGTTGAGTAAGTATATGTGTCATGGAAGTACAGTCTTTAGTTGGTGTTGACAGAGAGGTAAGAGGCTAGAGTTAAGAGTAGCACAGTTGTCAATGTGATATGGAGGAGGCTTTGTGAGGTAAGCGCTGGTTTGGGGCCGCTGTGGGAAGGGAGATACAGGAGAGGAGGTTGTGTCTAAATCATCTGCTCCCCCTTTCTTTTAGCAGTGTTTGCAAAAAATTTTCATGTGAAAGCTGCCATGAAGACATCCGTGCTGCTGACTTGGGAGATTCCAGACACCTACAATCCAGCTCAACCGTTCACCGTGAGAGCCTTAACATTTTATACAAGATTATAACAACTCGAAAAACATGTCATGAAAGCGCACTCTACATAATTTGCATTCAGATCCTTTACGACAACGGGCAGAGCGTGGAGGTGGATGGGAAGCTCACGCAGAAGCTGATAACTGGGCTACAGCCTGAGACGCAGTATTCGTTCCTTCTGACCAATCGCGGGAACAGCGCAGGAGGTTTGCAGCACCGCGTCTCCACCATGACGGCTCCAGATGTTCTCCGCACCAAACCCTACCTGATCGGGAAGACCAACTCGGACGGTATGGTGACTGTGGAGCTGCCATCGGTGCAAACGTCTGAGCGAGTCAGGTGGGTAAAATGCTTATTTTGACTAATCTATGATCGTTTTTTAATGTATAATGAAAAGTAAAAAAAAAAAAAAGTTATATAGTTCGTATGTAACTTTTCTGGTGGAGGGTCTGTCACTTGCTATTATTGCATTGCCAGAAATGTTCCTCAGTGTGGCTTTAAACACTATCTAATGCCAAGTTGCTGGTCAGATGTATGAAGACAAGAGCTCACTCAGTTATAAGTTGTTTTAATGTCATACTGTGGAACATTACTCTCAAAGCAACAACACCCATGGCAACAAGCAATTGACAGACCCTCTACCACCAGAAAAGTTACATAGTGTACCTTTAAGTCTCTGTTCCAGATAAAGAGATGAGTGCAGCTTTGTACTAAGTGTTTACAGTCAATAAATCAATTTTCTGCAGTAATAATTTATCATGTGGGTTATGCATACATCAATGAATAAGCAAGCCTATGAATAAAAGTGTCATCCTGTTTGACAGAATGCATAAAATGTGGACTTTCATGAGTCTAGTTAGTACACTTAGCCCACACAGTACTAGCTTGACTTTGCATTGTGAACACAAAGCCGTGTGAAGTCCTCAGAGCGTTGAGACAAAGCCCATGTTGTCAAGGCGCCAGCAGCACATCCGACTGTAGACTGCGGCTTCAAACCCATCTTGTGTTTTGATGTTGCTGGATGCACTCGGCCCGCCGTCTCCCATGCCAGAGCTTAAGCTAATGAGTTTCCCATTAGCCTGCCACGCTGCCTCTCTGGCTATCGCGAGCTTGTGTGGTGCCCAATGAGAAAGGCCAGAACACTCTGGCACAGGCTCTTATCTCCAGTGCCACCCCGATGAAGGGATGAAATCCTTCTAATTCTCATCTTTTCACGGAGGTCTTCTAATTAGCCCACGGAGGCCCAGTGAGGTGCATCTACACTGCCCCACTCCTATGAACAAGCTTCAATGAAAAAGAAAATATGTAGTCACACCACTCAAGTGAGGGAGATTGGTTTGGCTTACTAATGGCCTGATTATGGGACGGTATCTGCTAATTATGTGTTCTGGTCGATGTATATCCAGATGCAAGTGAAAAGAATTATAATAAAATAGAGTAGTGGAGTTCATACTTCACAATAAGTGTGACAATTTTATGTTAAATGACAATGATTAAAAGCTCTATTGTTTATGTTAATTTTTATTAGTTTTTAATAAGACAATAAAAAAGAATGTACATAGTTTACATGACAGAAACAAGCACTGTCGTCTTATTGCACTTTTCATGTAGTGTACTGTATTCTTTTTAATATAACATTAATTTAACATATTTATATTTATTTTCTGGTGATGCTTTTTACCTCATTAAAAATAACTACATTGATAAGCACTTCAGTACTGCATGCTAATCAGTCCTATGTGTTTTAGGGGCTATTATGTTGTTGTTGTACCTCTGAGAAAACAACGGACTGGCAAGTTTTTCAAGCCGTGGGAGAATCCTGATGAGATGAACTGGGAAGAGGTGAGTTTAATGACACAGACTCTTATCAGAAATGTTTGAAACCTGTAGCTTTGCCAATAGTGCGCCATACTTTTCTCCAAAGTGTAGAAACAGGCCTGTAGTTTTTGAGAGGGCAGGAAGAACAAGAGATGTGTCTCGCTGATTGACGCAAATAGCAGCAGAGAGCACTGTTCATATGGAAATGAGAACATGAAGTAGCCATCAAGTGCACTGCAAACTCAACCCTCATCCTCCCCTCCTCCTCCTCCTTTTTTGTGGCGGCTGTAATTACCTGAAGAGCTGCATCAGGCCTTCCTGTCTTCTCTCATTCTAGTCCAAGCTAGCACAGTGTGTGTGCACAAAACACTTGACAACTTTTATATTTAACTGGTCGGATCGGAGTTTCTGTGAGCTGCATGCATGATTAAGTGTGTTTGCAAATGAAAGCTTCTATTGTTATACTGTTAACTCTAGGTTAAAATTTAAAATGTTCTATTTACATGGCCTATAGTAATAGCATATATATCTATATTTATTTGTACTGCCAATTCTATAAAATATAAAACTAGTAGATGCCATATAAAAAAGTTTTGAATACACTTCATAAGTAGATGTTAAATACACAGTGGCCCTACTCTGACCTCAAGAGAAGCTTATAGAATATATCTATATTGGGCAGATCCATTTTGTTCAAATATAAGGAACAATCTGATATAAAAAAATATATACAGACGCCATTTACTTAAAAGTTTTGAGTCAGTGGAATATAGTTTATTTAGTTTTGAAAATTAATGTTAAATCCTGAAATCTAGACTGTATTTTTCTTTCTAAAATAATTTCAATATTGCAGTGTAAATTATTTATCTTGTATAACCATAAAAATAACACATTTGAAAACTAAATGAAATCTTAAATTGTCTCCTCCACCATTGGTTTCGCCGCTCCTGCCTATAGGCCCATGTCTGTCGCCTTGACCAATTGCCCAAAAGTCACCCCTCTGTCAGAATTTATTTGTTTGTCAATATTGGCACTCACCTTTTCACAACTTTTCCCAAGGGCAGCTAGATTTAGCCGTGTTGACAGGAGAGATGATTGAAGACATTATCGGGCAGTACCAACAGCCCCGCAGCCAAAACAGAGCACACACGACGTGAGACCGAGCGCACACACAGCAACGGGACTGACAGGGACGCACACACGCGCACACGCACACACACGGGACAAAGAGATACCGAATCAGACGCCAAATAACTAGCGAAGCCTGATTAGCATAATTATGAGCCACACTTTGTATTGGCTGTTTAAAGAGCAATGATATAGACTTGCATGAAGGGCATGGACTTGATCAATTGTTTCTTACCTACTTGGGTTCGGTACAAGTGTTTAATATTGTAAAACATTTTGAAATTACACATTTTATGAGAAATCAGTTTTTTTCCCTCCTTCTTGTTCCACTTGTTAATTATTGCTGTGTGAAGCTTTTATCAGCAATTATGTGCCTTAAAAATTTAGTTTTTTTCAAGTTGGGGTCTGCTACCTGCTTGTTTCCATGGAGATGTTGTTGCTTTGTACAGGTGATGTTACTGCTCAAAAATACTTCTTAAAACCTGCATTTTTACTTAAAGAGCCGGGACGCCTCTCCACAGATATGACCTTTAACTAGCTCTGATATCTACGTATACAGATCAATTTAATGCCAAAGCAAAGAAATGGAGTCAGTCATGTGGTAGCAGGTACCTGGACCTGAACTGTTCCATTGCGCACCTTTATGCAGGGCACAAATTCATATGTCATTTGACCATTCGTTTTAAAATAAAACTAAAAATAAGAAAATGAAAAAACTATTATTTTCTTCATTATTTGTCTCCAAAACCAAAATGAAAAAAACAGATAACGATCAGTTTTTTCAGTTTTCGTTTTGGTGTTTAAATGAATAATGGAAAAACAGATAACGACCGTTTCCCATGTAAAATGTGATGCCGGACTTTTGCGCCGCATATTGACTGAACCAGGACTGAACAGGACTGAACAGGACTACTTTTTTTTTTTCATTTGGGGTTTGGAGAGAAATAATGAAGAACATTTTTCATTTTCTTATTTTTGGTTTTATTTTGAAAAACGAATGATACGCGGCTTGGTACAGACCAGTATTCCCAAGAAACTAACCTACAACTTCTTGGTATTGTAGAATTTAAAGGTGCGCTGCGTAACATTTCTAGTGGAAGGTTCTGTCACAAGCCTGTCGCAATGGAAATGTTATTGCTTTGTCTAGAACGTTCCACAGTATTTATTAAACCAGTTTATCATGAAGGAGACAAGCAGGTTACCGCACTTTGCTGCATTACAATTCAGATCTGTGGAGGGTCGCCCATATTTACAGAAGGAATCACTGTATTTTGAGCAATAGAAAAACCTGTAAAGAATAAATTCTAGATGGATATGTTTAATGTCATACCATGGAACATTCCAGGCAAATCCAAAATCTCCACAGAGACAAGCAGGTAGCAGATCCTCCACTAAAAAAGTTCCGCAGTGCACCTTTAACATGCATACACTCACATATTGTATCAAGTCATTGTAAGATAATAATGTAATAACTGCAGAGCCAAAAGCAGAATATTCAAATGTAATTGACTACAAGCGCTTGAATCAACGCCTCTGATTTGTGTCAAAAAATGATTGAGCCGAGAAACTTTGAAATCTCTGCGCGCTCTCTCTCCTCCGCTTGATACTGCCTGATAATGTGAACTGTTTTATATGCCGGAAATCCACACTATCTTTTAATCAGAGCCTTTTGTAGTCCAAAAACAGATGAAATAAGTCATTGATCTTTCCGTAACGCTTCGCAATCAGCACTTTCAGCTCAGTAATCAGTAAGAGAAATCTCAGATGAATTAGAATTGAGGGAATTTTTATGTCTTGTGTTTGATATCAGTTGTACATTTTTTTTTCTGTCTCCGCAGCTGCTAAAAGAAATCAACAGAACGAACAGAGAATTTCGTTTTCGGAGGCAAATTGAACCTAAAGCCTACATCGCGGCCTACTTCAAAGACCTGCCCAAAGACTTCACGCTGGGAGATGGGAAGATGTACGGGGAATTTGAAAACAAGCAACTTCAGAACGGACAGGAGTACATCTTCTTTGTTGTGGCAGTCGTGGAGATGTCTGAAAATGTAAGTTGCAATTAATGTTTTAATGCTGTATCCTCACCTATAACATATCTGCTAGGAAGGTCACAGTACAAGTGATAGTGTTAAAGTTATTGAAACATCACAATATTTATAGATTATTGAACTACTGAACTACTCTTTTATAGTAACCTTAAAACATGAACAATGACTTGAATTCATAAGAGTTTATTGAGAATGATTCAGGCTTAGTCACTACTTAAACAATACTCTGTTCCCTCTGTAACTGAAAACTCGCTAAGCTTGAATAATTCTTAATAAACTATGTGTTCGTTTTGAGTTACAGGTGCATTATGTAACTTTTCTGGTGAAGGGTTCGTCACCTGCTTGTTTCTATGGAGATGTTCCCCAGTGCGACATTAAACAGATTTATTGTACATTTATTCAGTTACAGGTGGTTATACAGCTCAAAAATACCTAGAAAAACAACATTCTGACTATGGACGGGGTTGCCTCTCCACAGATCTGACTGTAACTTGGTCTGGTTTGCTCTCCCTGAAGACAGAAAGGTTTAATACTCGGGATGTAACAATATCCAAATCTCTCAGTACAATATTATCACTATATGCATCTCACGCTACAACATTTAATGCAATATTTTGGAGAGGCTGATATAATTGTAAATAGGACAATTTTTTGCTTTTAAAATTCCCTGACAAGAATTTGGTGTGAATTATTACTATCATAATCGCAAGAATTCAAGTAAACCAATACATTTAAGCAAAGGATTTTGTGATTATGATATATTGTGACAGCCCAAGGTATTATTGTGAGACTTTGTATGATACGATATCACGATATTTCCATTATTGTTGCATCCTGTCTATTTAATACAATACTGAAACAGTGAAACATTTCAGACAAAGCAATACCATTTCCTTGGAGAAAAGCATTTGACAGGCCCTGCAACAGTAAAGTTACAGAATGCACCTTTAAGTCTTTGTACATGTTTCATAAATTCAAATTAAGGTGTAGTTATAATAAAGTGTTCCCAAATCCTTCAATATGTTTCATTCACATAACAGGTAAGAGAACATCATTGTCCGTCTAAGATCAGACCTTCTGAATGATACAGTAAAGGTACAAACAGACAGACAAAAGCAGCACAGGTTTACTGCTTGTTTAGATGGACTTAAAATAGCTTCTAAAATTCTCACTATTAAAATGATTATATTGTGCAGCTTCAGCTCAGAACACGCACTTACTGCAATTGCATTTTGTAAGCAATTAAATATAGACGGTACACAGCAGTTTAATTTGAATACACTGCTTAAACTGCTTTGACGATATACTCTTAAAAACTAAAGTATTCATTTATTTAGAAAAAGGGAGTATTAATGAATATATGATACATGTGTCAGATTCTAGCCGCATGGTTAATTTCCATCTGTTGTCCCAGGTTGATGTTAAAAATTACACTGGAAAATCTAGCAAAATAAAAGTTGGGCCTTAGTCCTTATTTAATTACAAAATACTTCACATATTTTTCTATAACTCGCACTTTTTTTCATGGCTTGGGTGGTCCGGTGACTTATACTCTGATGTGATTTATATGTTAAAATGTTCACACTGACAGACGTGAGAGGGCGCTCTAGGCTTGTGTACTCCTGTAGCACTGTCACTTCACACTCTACTGCGCATGTCGGCTGCAAAAGAAAGAGAAAGAGGCACTGTCCTGTCTGGTATAATGTCAGTCGATTGCACCATTTCTTCTGTATCACTGACAATTCAAAATTTAAACAAACATAAAGACAACTGAAACCATCCTGTCGGGATTCAGAAAGGCCAGAATAATTCTAAGTGGAACTGATGCTGAGTCTGACGACAGCTACACAGAAGAGAAAATGGCGACTTATACTCCAGAGCAACTTATAGTCTGAAAAATACAGTATTCCAAATACGGATGGGCATGATTAGTTGATTAATCGATAATTGATCATTAAGAATTTCATCGATTACGTTCATTTTAATCGACAAACCGAATGTAGGTTGCTGTGCATAGCGTAGGGCGACCAAACGTCCATGTCCGAGGACAAACGGAGGTCCGTACCTGTAGCTCTCTGCACTCAGAAGGAGCGAGACACCAACAGTCGGTCAGCCTGCAACGTGCCGTAGCGCAAATGTGTATTTAACGATGACTTGTGCAAGAAATTCCACGCTTTCCGTTGCGTTCGTGACAAGTGTGAGTCCATGTGCACAGTGTACAAAGCAGCACATATGTTTCGGTGTCCAGTGGGAAAAAGCTTCGCCAGGTGAGAGTTGCGCAATGTCGATGATGAGTCCCCACCTCCCACCCCCCGTACGGTGTCCCGGTTTTGACAAATGCAAATATGGTCACACTAACCTGTATTCCACTGAGCCTTTGCTTAGTTTATGCAAATTAGCCATTCAGTTTTAAGTTTTGTTTCTGTGAGAGTTGCGCAAAACTGCATTAAACACATTATAATCTCAAACGGGCTGATGTGGCTCTAGAGCGGTTACGGTTTATATGTCGTAAAGTTGAATTTATTTATGGAGATTAGTAGTGCAGATAGAAATAATAATGATGATAAATTTAATATAAAAAACTTTAATGATGAATCGATCAATTCTCCCGACAATCAATTAAGAAAATTTTATCGAATGCCCATGCCTAATTCCAAAACAATATACTGGAGGAATTAAAAAACAGAATTATAAACTGCTTTCACCTTTGAAACCTTGAAGTAGTAATCCTCAGTTCCTTACACCAGTTACACAAGGACGTTTGTAGCCCAACAGCCCATTGCCTGGATCTTCTGTGAGTGTTTAACTTCCAAACTCTTTGCTGGCCGGAGACGCTGACCCTCACCGCTTTGGGGAGAGAAGCCCCTTTAGACCTCGGCCCATCCCGGGAACAGCTTGATAACGGCGCGTGTTTTTAATTGCGTACCACCTTATCTGGCAGTGCGCGCTTGTGTGTGTGCGTGTGTGAGTCCAGTGTGGAGCAGAGACCACGGGCTGCAGGCGAGATGATGGATCTGATGAGCTAGTGGGCACAGCGCTAACTCTCTCTCCGCTGACCTGAGAGCAACGATAATCACGGACAGAGGCAGCCAGGCATATACAATATTTCTATCCCTAAAGACCGTTTTATCGCTCCATACTTCTATCAAGTCTCCTCAAATGAAGGGAGATGTGAAAGATTATATTTGATGTGGAGTCCAGTGAGATGAACAGAAGTTTGAAAAGGTTTTAATTTGTATTGCCGGCCAAGCTATGTAGCAAAGACTGTATAATTGAGTAAATTAGCTCAAGTCTTAAAGTAGGGCTCAGAATATATTAGTCAGCGCAGCCATAAGTCATTCTTAAGTAGAAGGAGCTGCAGGAAATCCAGTGTTGTTAGAGCTTAAGGTGAACATGGTTAATGAAACTATTATGAGAAATGCATTTCAATCAAGCTCAATTGCGTGATTAATACAAGTTCCTCACTGCAAATCAAATCAAACCCCCAGTGGTCTTTCGGTTGTACTATTCAATACTATTACTACTATAACTATTACTCTAAAATGCCTTAATTTTGAGGTGGCTATATTGGGAAAAAAGCAAAGAATGACAGCTTACATAGTTCCGTTTCATTTGTGTTATATATCGTCATATCGTTAGTTTTTCCACATATCAGTATTGGTCCGATATTGAAAACGTAGTCCAAATTTCAAACTATTTCAATACTAAGGAATAGACTGGATACCAATTCGACAATGATAATAAAAAACACTTCTTTATTTAGCCAATCAATTGTAATTTTTGACTTTAAATGATAGTATTTTAGCTTTGAAGCTATTTGGGAAAGGTTCATTTCTGTCCTTTGAATCTGACTTTTTAATATCGATACTTGCTCAAATGAGTAGTATGCGATTTTTGATACTTTTAAGAACCCTAATTTGGCACTAGTATTCTTTTCTAGGATTGCCCATATTTCATTCCCAGTTTGTCCTCAGTGCAACAGATTTGTCTTAATGAGTAAAATGCAAATAGAAGAGCAATTAGGCTAAAAATATGGTTGTATGTTTACACAATCATGCAACAAATCATTGTATATTCTGAGAAAATGCATTTTAACACATTCACATTTGAAGTTAATTTGTGAAATTTACTACGACATAAATTTGTGGGTCTGGCAATGGATTTTCAAATTTTCTATCGGAATCAGCAAATATCGGCTACTGGCAAAAGCAGCAAAACAAATATTGGATCAGTATTACCGTATTTTCTGGGCTATTAGACGCTCTGGATTATAAGGCACAATGTCATTAAAGGGTCTATTTTCAAACTTTTTTCACACATAAACCGCACCGTACTTTAAAAGAAACACAACAGTTAGATGACTCAGTCGAACTTTGTTTGGTCACGTTCACGGTGACTCTGGGCTTTATTCAGTTGTGGCGTGTAGGGAGGGTGTTGTCTGGGACCGCAGGATTGTTGGCGTGTTCGCAGTGACTCAGTTGTTCAGTTGTGTCTAGAAGTAGCACATTGCACTCGCTTTTTCGGTTCATTCGATGTGTTTCGCTGTGTGGTCGCTGTCTGCTCCATGTGTTTGCGTGCGCTGCAGGTAGTGCAGCTTTGTAGTTTACTGAAGTCGTGCTGGGACACCAGAGTGGATTCGTGTGTAGGGCGTTCTGGATTGCTGGGCGCGCAGTCATTTTTTGATGGGGTTGGAGGCTTAAGAGCGCGTCTAATAGCCCAGAAAATACGGTAGCTCAAAAAATCCACATCGGACCATCTCTAATAGAGTTGTCAAAAATATCCAGAATCAGATTCTTATTGATACTAAAATGGTAAAAATAGTATCGAAACTAGACACTCATTTGAGCAGGTATTGATACTTAAAAAACATTCACAGGACAGAAATGGACCTTTCCTGAATATCTTGAGGGTGATCTTGAGCTGCAATAGAACAAGTATCAAACCACAAAGATTATTATATAACACAATGGAAAATACCTGGACAACTGAGTGATTACAGAGATATAAAACCGTGTGGTAATATGAAAGAAAATACTATGATTAAATGTTGAAAATCTCATTCTACTGTCAAAATAAAGAGTTCTTTTTTTTTTTTATGATCATCGTGGTATCGAAATAGTATAGTACTGAATAATTTTTATATCATGACAACACTAATCCCTAATAATATTCCACGAAATAATCCATCCTTGATTTTCAATAATGTGGTGTGCTTAGTTTTTAAATGTGAATGGATTTCCACATTCAATTCATTGTATAAATAATACATTGGTCTCAACCTATACTCATTGATCTTCCTTTTAAATAATTCAATATGTCTGATGCGTTTTCAGATCATGTATGCCACAAGTCCCTACTCCGACTCTGTGGTCTCGGCGGACATCGACCCCCAACCGATAATCGATGAAGAGGAGGGTCTGATCTGGGTGGTGGGGCCCGTGCTAGCCGTAGTCTTCATCATATGCATCGTGATCGCCATCCTCCTTTACAAGAGGTGAGAAAAAAAACTGCCAGAGTTACTTCAACTATCAGCTATGAGAAGGTGTGAACATGTGTTACTTGGAAACATAAATCATTTACAGAGCTGAAAGGGAATACTGCAAGTCAACATATGATTTATATATGTACCACTGACTGTGAATATGAACGACCTCAGGCTATATACAGTTAAATGGTGGGGCAGGTGGTTCGGTGGCGTGTCCTTGGGCAAGACACGTCCTACTTCACAGCCACATCTCTAATAATAAGGGTCAGAAGTATCAAAATCAGGTACTAATCAATAAAAAAATTAGTATTAAAACTAGATACATATTTGAGCGGGTATCAATACTAAAAAAGTCACATTCACAGGACAGAAATAAAGTTTTAGAATGATCTTGAGCTGTATCAGAACAAGTACAAGACTGCCAGACTAGTATATGCCCATGGACCACTATGGAACCTACTGTAACTGGATGACTGAGGGATTACACTGATATAAAGCCACATGGTAAGAAAAAAGAAAGTAAGACGATTCAGTGTTGAAAATGAAATCCTATTGTCTAAAGCAGGGTTTCTTAATCATAGGGCCCGGGACCACCTCCTTGGGGACCCCACAATCAGTACAATATAATGCATTTGATATGAGATAGGGCCCCAGGTTACTTTGTTCAGAAAAAGTCAGGCCCTAAGATTGAAAAGGTTGAAAATTCCCTGGTCTATCAAGTATCAAAATATGTGAAAATGCTCTAAATAAATACATATAATATTTTCAAATTAGCCATAATGAACTTAATGACTATTTTGACAGTAAACATCACAATTTTACAACTATTTACTATGACTGACCAAAAAACAGTGAAATACCAAATTTATTTTTATTCTCAATGTCTAATAGATTACCACTCTTATAATTTGTGAGTATTTTATTAAATCTAACTTTATGAATGATATAATTAAAAAACATATACAGCCATATAAAAAGCACGTCACATGATAGCTTACTTTTCTTGAGTATAAAATGGATTGAAATCACATATTTTTGCTTCTAAAATTATCACAATTAAATCATTAATTTTGTAGTCCGATTATCTTGTAATGCTGACCTCCATTTGCAAACCCAGCTAAACTAAATCAAAGCAAACACTCGTCCCAGTGTTAAGTACAAACTCATCCAAACACAACTAAACACGCGACTCCCCGTCAGTGTTGAGCACTCTGACTGAACTGCAGTCCCAGAGGAGGCTGTTGTCAATGTGGATCAGTCAGGCGGACGGGCCCGGAGCTTTGACTATCTGCAGTTTCAGAGAGGCCTGGAGCTCGGGCAGGCGTCCCAGTCTCTCCTCCTCTTCCTCCCCCTCTATCTCCTCCTCCTCGGTCTTTACTACGGCTGCTCCCACTTGGGACGCCACATTTGATCTCCGCCGTCCACCCTTTCTGCCTGAACACACACAGCCACACGCGCTCTACTGACGGTCTTTGCTTTTCTCTGCGCAGGAGTGGAGGAAAATAGATACTCAGAAATAAAGTGGTTAGACTGTTTATTTCCAATTATAACTATTTGGTCTTCTCAATATAAAGTAAATATGTTTAAATCAAATACTGATTTTACTTGTAACAAATGCAATACCACAACTCACAATACTCAGAACCTTTCTATCATATAATAATTGTTAATGTAAGTTTTCTGAATGAACTCCTTGTGTTGAGTTGCCACATTATACAGCTCAACCCAACCTCTTTTTATATCCTCAATATTTGTGGTTTTCATATTCTACAATGTGATGATTTCATACTCTCAAGGGCCAGGGGGGCAAGGGCCAGATTTCCTTATTGATTACATTGTACTTTGCCATGAAATATCGGAAAAAGGAAATTCATAAATGTTGAACCTGGTATTTTCAATTATCAACCTTAGAACTCACTGTATTCCAACATATCTTAGCGTTTTAACAATATTAATTTTAGCTGTCCCTGTCCTTCAGAATGCTGCGAACCACAATAATCTGAAAACCACCAACAGGCTTGGGCATTTTAAGCCATCCCATACTCAACTGCAATTATAGTGCTTTTTAGACAGGGCTTGTTAAATATATTACTTTTATATACAAAAATAAATTGAAATGGGCAATATCCAAATCATTTAATTGCATGTTGTTCAATGGTAAAGATCAACTTGTTTATGTTTTTCCAGAACGCCGTGTTTTCTCTCTCGGTTTAACTGTAATGCAGCGTTTGTGTGCTGGGGATTTGGAGCTCCCTTTTGGAAGCACAGAGATTTGATTGCAAACTTTGTGTCACTTTACAGAACTGTCAGTGCAGAAGCTGGTGATGTTTTTTTCAGTTTTATGTGACAGTATGTTCTTCTGGTGCAAAACAGACAAAAAGAAAGTTGTGCTGAGAACTATCAATAAAAATGGTCCATATCTGCATATTTTACCTGTAAAAAAAAAAAAAAAAAAAGAGAACAGTGACCTGGTCCATCCCTGCACAGCGATTAATGTGAAATGTACTGTATATATAGTATCATAGTTTTTTGCAGAATGCTGAAATATTGATCTTTTTTTCTTGGAATCGCTTCAACTTGAGCAGTCTGCTAAATCTGCACCAGTGGTTATATTGTGCAAGAATTTAATGTGCAACAGTAACTACAGCAAAATAAGAACCCTCGGGCTGCCAAAGGTCTCCTTGCCTAATGTTGTGTCAATATTTCTTTTCTTTGCCGACCAATGGAGCAGCAAACCAGACAGGTAAGAGCAAGATGGATAGAAAAACATCACTATTTCATCACACTGGACACTGTACTATTTAAAGAGCACTATGTAACTTTTATGGTGGAGGGTCCGTCATCTGTTTTCTCTATAGAGATGTATTAGCTTTGTCTCGAATGTTCCACAGTAAAGCACCAAGCAGATCTATCTTGCATTCAGTTATTAGATTTATTGCTAAACACTAAGTTGAGAAAAAACAAAAAAAAAAAAAAACTATTCTTACAGTGAGCGAGTCTTCTCTCCATAGATTTGACCTGTAACGTGACCTTGTGGTGCCACCTAAGGCTATGTTCAGACTGAAGTGACTGAAATCTGACGTTTTTGCCCCTATGCGACCTGTGTCTGATCTTTTAATGACAGTCTGAACAACACAGATAATTTTTTTTTTTTATTTGACCCAGGCTACTTGGATATGTGCTCCTAAAACCGACACATATCCGATCTTTTCACATGTGACTTCAGCATGAACGGCCAGGTCATATTCATCCCACCTACACGTCACAAATGTACACAAACATTCTTCTCGTCATATGAAAATTGTGTATTAACTCCGTGTCAGTGAAGCAGTGAAGCACATCCCAATCCCACCACTCTTGGCTGCGACTCCGCACCCCACAAAATGCCATGGCCAGAAATCTTGTCCTTCTCAATCTCCTCCTTAAAACCAATAAACTGTAGAGTACATGTTCTAGCTCCGGTATGACAGCAACTTTAAAATGGCCATGTGCTCAATGCATCTAGCATCTGTGTTTAGGTGTTTATGCTCGTGTGTGACGTCGTCGTGTCCTCCAGTTCACATGCGGCACACTTTTGGGGCGTTTAAAATTCACACTAGAGATCATATACAAGTCACATTTAATTGGAAATGTGAAGGACCTCGCAAAAAAAAAAAATCTGATTTCACAAAAAAATCCAAATTGAGCATTAAGCCCTGCAGTCTGAACGTAGCCTAACTGTCGCCATGGAGACAGACATGTTTAATGCCTTACTGTGGAATATAAGCAATAGGCTATCCATGGAGACAAGTATTTGATGGACAATTCATCCAAATGTTACTTAGAGCACCTTGAATTACATGTTAAGTTTGATATTAAAGTTACATTGAAATATATGATGTGATTGACAGAAAAAGAGCAGAAGCAGAAGCACGTAAAGGCAGCCTCCCCAACAGCAAAGAAATGCCCCTGCACCATCCCACCGACCCCGTGGAGCTACGACGCCTCAACTTCCAAACTCCAGGTAAGATTTCTATGTACCTGTTCATTTCATCTACTGTAGACGTACAGAGAGAATGCTACTGATTGCCTGCTCAAATCAGTACTTCCATTACTAACTACTTTTATTGACATTTCCATTCCACAATCTCAACTGACAGAGCAAACTTGGACTATGCACAAGTTTAAGATTTCTCATTGGTTAATACTTTATACATTGCCCAATTGTAGGTATACATAATGCATAAATGCTACTGCTAATCAACTACACAGTTCACTTTTTAGTAATTAATAGTTTGCATAATTGTGCATAAGAACACGCATTTGGCATTAAAAAAAGCTGTTTCATAGTGAGGGAAAGTCTTTTATTATTCAGTACGTGTTTATTATATGAAACTGTAATAACTATAATTACTTATAATATAATATTAGTTATGTGCATTCTATTCAGTGGTTTCAGGCGGCATTTTTAGGACCACAAAAGATAGAATATTTGTTGAATTATGGCAACAGAGCTCATTTTTTATCATTCTGAAACCCACAGATATATGACAACTACACAACACCAAACTAACAAATATACAAGAACTGAGCCCTAACTCCAAAATAGTTCTGACACTGGACTAATAAGTGGTTTGCAGGTAGCCATGGGGACAGGTGGAGAGGGTCAGTACTTGGCAGCGTCCTCTGGGGAAGATCCATCTCATTGAAAAGTAAAGAGGCAGAAGTGCTAGCCTTGACAGTTTGGTGGCAGCTGTCATCATGTAGTGCGCGCGGGCCATCGAGGTCATCTGGACATGTCATGCTTACTCAGAAAGCTCCGGCTGTACCCTGCGAGTTAGGAGATCCAACCCAGCCCAAGTGAGGACAATATGAAATGTGTCAAGGCCGTGTCCTGTGTTTTGTATGCGCGCCGATGGATAGCCACAAACAACAATGACAGCTGTGAAGTGCAATGTTTATACCAGCTGACCTTTAGCGCGGAGGTGAGGAGTGGACACTGGATTCTTGCCTGAAGGAGACACCTACAGTCGCAGTCCTGTTATCGGCTGGAGGGGGCCATGTATCTTTGCCCCCGTCCTGAACAAACAATGTGTAGTATGTAGCACCTTGGAATAAGGACTGTTGTCCACCAGCCAAAAATGTAACTATCCCAGTGTTTCTCAATTATTTTCTGTCACGCCCCCCTAGGAAGAAGAAAACATTTCACCCTCCCACAACTACCAAAAGTGGACAAATCTCACCCTCGCCTTCAGTCGCCAACAATCCGTGTATCATTCGTTCATTTGTTTTTCAATATAAAACCAAAAATAGGAAAATGAAAAAACAACAGTTTTCTTCATTATTTGTCTGCAAAACCAAAATAAAAAAAAAACAGATAATGATTATTTTTTTCAGTTTTTGATTTTGTGTTTAAATGTATAATGGATAAAACAGATAACAGCCGTTTCCCATTTATGTGACTTGAACTGCACCACAGACGGACTAAACCAGGACTAAACCAGGTCCGGTACCAGACCAGTGCCAGACCGGGACTGAGACCAGGACTTAGACCGGGACTTAGACCGGGACCAAACCAGGACTGAGTCTGGGAGCAGGACCAGGACTGAGACCGGGATTGAGGCTGGGACCAGATCTTGACTGAAAAAGGTTTAGTACCTGTTTTAGTCCTTATTCAGTCCTGGTTCAGTCCAGCATCGCAGTCAGGTAAATGGGAAACGGTCGTTGTCCGTTCTTTCCATTATTCATTTAAACACAAAATCGAAAACTGAAAAAAACAAATCATTATCTGTTTTTTTCATTTTGTTTTTGGAATAATGCAGAAAATTGTTGTTTTTTTATAGTTTGTTTCTTATTTTTGGTTTTATTTTGAAAAACGAATGATACACAGATTACCTACATACGAGAGCAAACGTTTTAAGTCTTGTCTCCAAAGCGACTCCTGAGACACACGCAGCAAGTGTCCGTAATATCTGTATTCCGCCCTGCGCTCACTTGCATCATGAGGCGGTCCGCTCCTGTGTCCTCCTCGTCTTTAAAAAATGATGTCCGTGTTATAGTTCAGGGCACTTGCGTCATCCAACATGACAAAAACCATGTCTAAAGCTGCAGCAGTATCAGCTCCTCTGCTATTTGCTACACCACCTGATATGATATTAACAGAGCTCGCTGGTTTACTGAAGCAGCATTCACAAAGCGGGATGATTGTTGGCAATATTTGTCACATTTTCACTGAGAAAACTCGAGTGGCTTATCAGCGTGATTGGGGTGTCGTGTCTTTAAGCAATGCTGTAATTTATTTGGCTTCATGCTGTCCACTGCCAACATTTTTAGACACAGTAAACACAGTGGTCTTTCCTCGTTTCTCACCATAGTCACAGTGAAGCCGAGCGCTACACACACTTTAAATACAGTTTGTTCTCTGCACTTCATATCTCCTGCTCTGCGCTATGGGTGCTTTTGCTTGGTGCAAAAAACCCGACACTATAGCGCTAATACTCCTACAATGAGAGCGTCACTGCCAACTACTGTAGTGGATGTGCAATTACACTTTATTCTAGTACGGCAAAAAAAAAAAGCATGTTCCCCAAGATCACACTGGTCTATCCCAATGCAGTAGAGCTTAAATATCCTTTGTATGAAATAGTTGAAGGGTATAAACTTTTTCGTTTGTTTGTTTGATTTGAAAACTTAGCAAGTTTATTGGTCACGTTCTAAACTGTGTAGTAGGCCACCGTCTGAACTTAAAATTAAAGGCCCCATATTATGTTATAATATAATGTTATAATGATGTTTCCTCATCAAAAACATACCAGGAGTTGTGTTTTGTTTCATTCACACATGTTTAACACACAAATCCTGCATATTTAGGAGTTCTTCTCTCAAACAGCATGCTTTCTGTTCCACTTTGTGATATCATGTGGTAATACAGGAACTGCTTCACTGTGTTTTTAAATAGCAAAAACTTTCACTAGAACCATTTGGATTTTTTCAACCTTGTATATTCTAATCTCTACTAACCTAAAGCTAAAAAGTAGATGTTAACTTGAACTTTGGAGATGTGTGAATTAAATAAAACACAACTTCATGTGTGGTTTTCAAGAAACATAAAAAAAACCATTAGAAACTCTCCCATTACAATCAAACAGGTCAAACTGAATTTCTTAATAACCTAATAGGAAGCCTGTTTAAGAGCCAGTCCTGCTTTAAATGCTGCTTTAAACTGTGGGACCAGTGTTCAGAGGGTGCCAAATGAAGTGGGCATATTCAAGCCAGGTCAGTTGTATGAAAGGAGGATAAATTACCCCTCCGGGCTCGAGTAATGTATGCATATTTATGAAGCTCTCCATGATGTTAGGGCCATTACAGACTGCTTCATTCTGACAGAGGGCATTTTTCCTTTTGGCGCTGAGTGATCTCAAACATCCTTACGCTTTTTCAACCCCCACTCAAGCCGTCATTTTCCCCTACCCATCAACTCCTCTAAGAGCCCGGATCTCACTGCTCAAAAGGACTAAATATTTCCTCTCAACATGTGACCACTCTAAATCAAGTCCTCAAGCAGTTTTACATTAGACCTGCTCTCTCCTCCTCTCTCTCCCCTCTTTACACCTCAATGGACATTTTCTACTTAAGCATGCTTGATGTTTGAGCGACAGTATGGCAGGAATGGTGCTTTCATTGTCCCCCCCAAGGCTGGTGATGGGTTTGGAGTAGTGGCCCGCAATAGAAACCCACTTTTGCCGGGAGAGAAGTGAAAGTGGGTGGGGGATATGTGGCCTAGTACCTTCCATTAGCTAATGTCCACTTGTGCCAAGCTAATGAAACCTCATTATGGCGCTGGTGGAAAGACGGCGTCAACCAACTGCGGAGGCACTTGACATGAGGAGAACTTTCGAACAGAACAGTCCCTATCTATTTCTGGTTTTAAATTATAATGTATTCACAACTCCAAAAACAAAAGAATTACGCAAAGTCAGAAAAGTCAATGGAAAATCTATTGACGTTTTCTTTTCTTGTAGAGGGCTTGTCTGGTGGAAATGTTATTGCTTTGCCGGGAATCTCCTCAATATGGCATTATTAATCAATTATTGGTGGCTTATTGCTGAAGAAAAAAATTACCTTCTTATTGTGAGCCTTTTGTCTACGCCTTTCCAGAGATCTGCCCTGTAACTTGTCTTGATGGTGACACCAGCTTGTCTTCATGTAGACGGGTAATAGCATAATTAGGCCATCATGATAACAAATTCTGAAGTTCGATATATTGCTGAAGTAAATATAGATGATAAATAGGGGTGTAACAGTACCCAAGAGTCACAGTTCGGTATGTACCTCGGTTTTGCTTGTTGTTTAGTTGTGTGTTTATTATACCAACAATTTGTTTTAACGTTATACAAATAATAAAATAAAATAAATGCAAAGTGCTGCATAGTAATACTAATAAGTTAAATAAAATATTCTCAAATAGGCAATAAATGTATGAAATATTATAAAAAATTCATTCGTTGTAAACAGTAAACAAAACTTTTCAAAAAGTAAAGCGCAGCACTTTATTTCTGACCAGAAAAAACAACTTGTCCACATTGTCCACAGTAAGTGCAGATCTACTGGCAGTTACAATGTCTCCAGTGGTTGAAAGTACCTTTCGCTATTCAGTGCCAAGATTCCGTGCCGGTGAAAAGCAAAAGTGAGGACCGCGGCACGATGATCGTTGCGAGAATTCACATGGTTCGGAGGGACATAGTCAAGGCCGGAGGCAATTGTTGTCAAGGCGGCCGCCCAAACTATAAACTATAGTAAACTATAACTATACACTGCCACCTGAACCATGGACAAGTTCCCTTGTGAACATTAAAGAGCCAAACCTTCCATGTAGCTGCACATGTAGTGGCGGAATGTAAACACACACAAATTGCGCAAACTCACTCGTGCACAGCCCTGCACTGAACCGAACGTTCCATACCAAAACGGTTCAGCACGAATACATGTACCATAACACCCATAATGATAATATTGAAACTACCACTTATGCTACTGACGCAATAATGTATACTACAAAACCTATTCTAAATTTACAATAATTGTAAAAAATAAAATAAAATACAAATTATGAGCTGCAACAAATTAACTGAATAAACGACTTCCTCCATTTGGATTTGTATTGAGTCATAGTAGTTATTAATTCAACATTTTATAGCGTAAATCTTATCATACAGACACAAAATAACAAAAAAATCCCCAGTATTGCAAAGACAATGTTCATACAATAAATACTGACCCCCCTCCTTCAAATAAAATAAACATTGTTCCAGCTTTTATATGTTAAATGATAAGTCAATATAGTAATTATTGTTAGTATACTGGCAAAGCAATAACATCTCTATAAGCAAGTTACATACTGTGTTACATATTAATCCAATTTTCAATATTAAATAGTGTTAAAAACAGTTTACTAATACTAAAAAAGTGTTATTTAAATGCTAGCTTCTAGAAGACACATACACATTCGTAATTTTCCAACGGTTCATTTTGCTTTGCTTGTTTCTTTGCTTCCATATACCGTAGTTAGCATGGCCCGGCATGGTAGAATCTGTGTACTAATGTATGTTCCATGTAGCATACCCGTGGCACTAGCGTTGTTTTTCTTTGTCAAACGCATCACATATAACATCACTATAATGTCGTCTTGAGTTTGTAGTTAATGACACGGCCGTTTCCTCCACAGGTTCAGGTGCGTCCAGTCACCCCAGTAACCTCCATTTGTCAAGTTAGTTGGTCTCGATTCTGCATTTGACAACATCCCCTTTAATCTCCTGTTCTGCCTTCTACTTTCCCATCTCTCAACCCACTCTTCATTCTCATGGTGTCAATGCTTTTCATCGCAGTAGGGCAGAGTTTCAAGCTTGTAACATGTCATTGTTCAATCAACTTTTGGCCTATTTTTTGTGTTATTAGTTGATCCTTTTAAGTCATGGTGTGCTTTTATCTCTGTGTCATGCTTATTATCCTGCCTAGCTAAACTGCCAATAGTATCCTAGGTGGACCTCTCATCCCGGCTTCTGCGTCCTTCCTAGCATGGCCACTGCTGAACAAACTAGCCTAACAAACACCTTTCCATCTTCCCTGCTTTACTATTGGTCCACTCTTTTACTCAGTGCGTAACATTAGTGATGACGTTTTCTTTCTCTTTATGTGAATGCAGGTATGGCCAACCACCCTCCCATCCCAGTCATGGACCTGGCGGATCATCTGGAGCGACTAAAAGCCAACGACAACCTCAAGTTCTCACAAGAGTATGAGGTACAAGTCCAGTTTTATCAGATACTCTTCCAAGTATTTCACTGTAAGAAATTACCTTCAAGTACATTGGAGGGTAGATGTCACTCTATAATGAAAGGTCTCTATAAGTCTCTGTAGTAGTAGTAGTATGTGAACTGAATTACCATATTTTTTGGACTATAAGGCACACACTGAAAATCCTTTAAGTTTCTCAAAAATCAACAGTGCGCCTTATGTATGAATTCTGGTTGTGCTTACTGACCTCAAACCAATTTTATGTGGTACACAGCGCTCAAAAATCTGTCCAAATGTTTTAGTCTGACTTTGGTAAGCAATGAAGCCCCAAAGCTTGATGGACTGTCAGAGCATTACGGCTGCTGTAGTCAGAAGGAGTTAGTCCGACAGAAGCTGACTGTATCAGCGCACAAGGAGCGAGCTATTTTTTAGCGCTTATAGTTTTTGCAAATTAGCCATGTAGTTTTAAGTTTAGTTTCTGGAAAATATAAACAAATGTGTGCAAAGCTGCATCAAACACATTATTAGTCAATGTATATTTGAGTCTTCCGCCTTATGTATAAAAATAAACAAGATAATTCAACATTATTGATATTGCACCTTATAATCCGGTGCAATTTATAGTCCAAAAAATACGGTAGTCATTTCAATCTAGAGAAAAAGAGAGATACTTTATTGATTACAAGGGAAATACAAATTTAGCTGCAGCAACATTTACACTGCATTTCTCAGTCACCTTTGTGTCTCCATAAGAGCAGGACTGGTCAGGTACGGTCAGCAGATCCTGTGTCAGGACAGTCTGTGTCCTACAGCATCACAGCAGTCTAATGGAAAATAATATTCTTGAATGACTTGTGTTAAAATCTGAATGAGGTTATCACTGCAGGCATTTTGACACTTTTCCATAAAAAGAAAAGGACCAATTAACCCCATTACATGGTGTACAATTTTTGTTTTTGGTTCGTGCTGTTATATTGAAGAAGTCAATGACATGTCTCACTAGGATATCAAATGGATTCAAATTTAACATCGTCCCTACCAGTAATACCTGCTCTAAAAGTGAACCAATTCTAAAAAGCCATATATGCACACAAATGAGAAATAAAGAAATAAAGGTGTATAGCTAAACATTACTCTTTATGCCGAGATTAGTTAACTCTAAAGCATATATGGAAAGAACGTTTAATTTGAAAGAAAAATACACATTTCGTTGCTAAGACACATGGGGTCCATTCAGATGTCAGTGGCTTTTCAAATGTTTCAGAATCATTATGGTGTATTGAGATTAGCCGAGCCGGGCAGTCATTATGTGCTACATTTCTATTTCTAAACTATTATTTTAGCCTAATGGGAAGCAATTATGCAAGTAAAATGAAGAGATTTTTATTCTCAAAATATTGGAGCTACCCTCGCTTAACCCCTCGGACATCTGAGTAAAATGTCTACCGTATGTGAACAATCTGAGAAAGGACATAAAATTCAAACCAAAAAAAAAAGTATCCACTCTGAGATTGACAAACCCATGTAAGGCCCAAAGTAGCTTAAACAAGTTCCAAGTCATTAAACACCAACCATTATCTACAGAAGACAGAGGAAGATGAATGAATAAAATAAGTACATTTGTATCCCTCTTCAAATCCATTTTAATTAGCCATAAGGGATACTGAGACTATTAATCTGCCTTATTGCACCAGAGCTATTTTTTCTGTAGAAACATTAAAACCGAGAAGACATTAAGAAGAAAGAACAATATTTCCTCGTCCCTGTGTGCTGGATGTTCCCTTTGTCATATTACATTTTATTGTTCATTTATTTGTGATGAGGGACCATTAGCGATTCCGGCTTTGCGCGGCTAACGAAAGACTTGGATCTCACATTCCGATGAACTAGTCTCTGGTGTGGGATTCTGTTGTGTGCTGTAAAATGTGCTAATCTTATGAGAACATCAGTAAAAATAATGATACATCGTACAGTTTTTTTTTCTTTTGAAGACAGACAAAAGTCATGACATTGCTGCAGTACACCGTGTAGTTAGCCGCGCTAGCAATCTGTAAACACGATGCAGCATATGTTTTGTCCTCCAAGTTATACAAGTGTTCCAACAGTTGCTTAGAAAAGAACATAATAAACGAAGTACACAATGTTCTTTTATAGCAAAGAAAAAAAAAAAAAAAAACACGATTCCTGTTACATATGAATGCCATTTACATAACTTCCTAAAATAAGCACAAGGCTAATCGTCTGGCTAGGTAGTAAGTTTAGCAACATGGGTCACTTTTCCTGACACATTACCCCAGCGGGATTAAAGATAGGGTTAGGGAATATTGAATAATTACTTTTAGTGTACAGGAAATGAGGAGTCTATATTTTCTTTGTTAATTTGCGACAGTTGATTTTTTTAATTTATTTATTTATTTTTTAATTGGGTCATTTTGCAGCGCTACAAATGAAAAACAAAACAGACCGCAACTACATGGATCATGACAGAAAGAGTCCAAGCTGAAGCAAATGTCCCAAACCCTGTTAAAGCAGTGTATGAACAACAAGTTTGCATTTACAACTTCACTTACGACTCACTTTGCATATAAGAGACAAAATATAAATTAAAACAAACAACATTTAATGCATAATTCATTCATTCCAGAGCTCTATATCTTTCAAAACATAATGCTTTATACTCTACCCCTCTCTACTAACCCCTCTAACAGAAATACAATCACTTTATTTTAGTTCTTATCTTGATTTTTTATTTTTTCGTTTATGGTCATACAAACTAATAATAATGTTAACAAAGGCACAAAAGTTTATCATTTATGATCATACAAAATAAACCACATTGAGAATGACACTGACACAAGTAAAATCTGCGTGACATTTATTATTGTTTATTGTTATAGGAAAGAAGTATGTAGTTATTTAATTGTATTATACCTATGCATTTACGTTTTCTACGCATGTTCTATGCATTTCTGTCCGAATAAACATTCAATCATTAAAAAAAAAAAAAATACCACAAAAATCACCATAAACCTGTATTTGAAAGTTTAGGCTCCCAAGTTCTTACTGCAACATTTTTGTTATCATTTTATAATACTCGATACAAATAGTTTCAATATAAAAAATGTTTCAATCTATATCCAACCTCAAATTAAAGAGTGGGTCAAATGTAAAAGGCCATTTTCCCAATGATGACAATGCATTTTATCTTACCAGGAAAAGGCAAGTCAAGTTTATTTATCTAGCACAATTTGTACATAAATTAATTCAAAGTGCTTTACATAATAAGAAAGACACTAAATTCAACAATACAAACTAATTAAAACATAAATAATCATCATAAAATTAACATTAAAAGAGAAAAGAGAAGAGTGCTGAGTAAAACCCATTCAGTCATATCCACAGTTAACAGAACTATTTTGAGCCTGGATTTAAACATAGTCAAAGTCGAGGCCTGTCTCACATGTTCACTGTAGCAGTGATACATTCACTTTACACTGACCTCGACTGCAGCAACGATCTATACAAAGAAATGTTCCATGCATTAATAATGAAAAATTCCTCTTGTTTACAGTCCATTGACCCTGGGCAGCAGTTCACCTGGGAGCATTCCAACCTGGAGGTCAACAAACCAAAGAACAGATACGCCAACGTCATCGCCTACGACCATTCCCGGGTCCTTCTGTCTGCTATTGATGGTATGCCGTCCACCCACAACTCCTAACAACTTCTGCATCGATTGTACACAAAGCTCTCTTCACCAGACTGTACTTTAACACTGAGAGATTGCGGCCATTCTGAACAGATAGAAAAGTGCTGTTTCAGTCGCCACTTACAAGCACATAACACTAATGCTATTAAAGGGCTCATATTACACTATTTATAATGTTGTTTCCTCATCACAAACATCGTAGAGGTGTGTTTTGATCCATTGCCACATTTAACACACAAACCCTGCATATTTAGACACAGTTCTTCTCTCAAACAGAAAACACTTTGCTCCACCTTGTGATGCCATGTGGTAATTAAGGAAGTGCTCTAGTGTGTTTTTAAACTCTATACACCTTCACTGGAATCATTTTGAAGGTTTCAGCCCTGGAATTGCCCATCTCTACTGAACAAAAGGTAAAAAGGTAGCTGTTAACTTGAAAACTACCACTACATGACATCACAAGGTGGAACATAGCATTTTAAGCTTTGACTCATATCGTAATTTCCCGACTATAAGCCGCTACTTTTTTTCTCACACTTGAACTCTGCTGCTGATATGTCTCACTCATATGCATTAAATGCAGGCAAGTGCGTAATTGACCAAAAAAAAACTCTCAAGCTTCAGTAGATGGACACCCACTCATACCTGGGCGAGCATTAAATCTGCTGAAATCCTACAAGACACTGACATGATACAGACAGGACAGCAGCTCTTTCTGCAGGAGACATGAGCAGTAGGGGAGAGCGCGAGGAGAGACTGGGTGATGCACTGAGGAAGATTCTAGTTTGATTGTGTTTTGAACAGTTATTTTGCACTTCATACACACACCCTCCTTATAGAAAACACACAAAGAAATGCAGATGATGCAGCTTTTAAGTTAACGGCAATTGATGTGGCTGTTGAAGAAGGAAATCGAGCTGCTGCACGTGAGCTCGGCATCAATGAGTCGATGGTGAGACTTTGGCGACAGCAGCGTGACGAACTGACTCAATGCAAAAAGATGTCAAAAGCTTTCAGAGGCAATTAAAGCAGACGGCCCGCACTTGAAAACATTCTTGAAGACGTGAACACCCGCGTTTTATATTCAGGTGCGGCCTATATATGTACAATTTTAAAATTTTGTTGATGCGGCTTATATTAAGGTGCGCTTAATAGTCTGGAAATTACGGTAATAAATTCATTCACTTGTTTAGTATCAGCACTTGTTCAAATGTCTAGTTTCGATACTAGTATTAGTATGGATTAGTATGTTTTCGATACTTTTGACAGGTTTTACAAAATAAAGTAACAACTGCAATATGATCTGTTTTTCGATATACTAACTCCCACCCCTATCCCATAAACATAACTGCTAAAAATATTAGTACTGTATATTCATATCATACAGATTTTTGCTTTAGGAAGTCCCAATAGCGTTTTAAACAATTTCCTACAATAGTGCCTGAATATTTTTGCGCGTAGAACGAAGTGAACTTTCTTAATACTCCCATTTAAACTCATCATCATTATGATAGCAGTTCAATACCCGCCTAAAGCCTGCATCTCCTGAGATTCATTTGCTTCGTTTTTTTCACACGAAGCCGAGCGCCGAATAACACTGCGGCAGTGTTTATTCCATAATAAGCATATTGACAGAGAAAATGGAAAAAAATACAAATCCTGACTGACAGAAAGCATAAAGGCAGAAGCGCATTAAACAACTTCCCTCATTCTCATTAAACCACAGTAATGTCCCTTTCTTTTCAATTCAAAAAACACACTGGGCTTAATTGTATTTATCCTTGTCCATCACTGTAAAATGTGCCGCTGTGTGGACAAAAAGACGCGGCATCGTGGGTGGTTTTAATGCGTTCGTTTTCCATTTGCTTGTCTTTTTAGTCCAATAAGTTACCTGGGAGTGCGAGGCTGTCTGCGGGGGGGCGGGGGTGGTGAGGTCTGGGGGGGGGGGGGAGCAGAGCAGGGGATTGTGGGAGACGTGGTGGCCATGCAGATGAGAGTTATCTTGGTCGACCATGTGTGCACGGAGCCCCTAAACTGCCAGTCCTAAAGCATTGACTAGCTGTCAGCTCTGTCTCTTTCCCCGGGATTCCAAAAGGCTGCTGCGCCTTTCATTTAATATAAGCAAAAAGAGACGGCGTGCCAAGAAAGAGGAAGAGAGAGAGGGGGAGTGAGAGAGAGAGACAGAGAGACGGAGAGAGGGAGGATGGAGAATTGTTTTGCTACTTTTCTGTTTGGTTTGTTTTTCTGCGTGTGAGGTGATAGACTTTTTACAGAGCGAGCCTTATCAGAAAGTCTCTCAGATATGGGAAAGGACACAGCGCTTTGGATTTAAATGTGCTGTTGATAATAAATAGGAAGGTGTATGCATCGCAAAAGCTCTGATCCAAATACAGCCAACAGTTATTACTTTGCAACTGTGGGACTTAAGCACTTAGAATTTTAAAACACAGAGAGCACCATGGAAGTGGATAATCAGGACACTTAAAGCGTAATGTTTTGGCTGGCTTTGGCCGGTTAGTTTGTGCTTTGATGTGGAACGTATAGATTCAGAATTCACAATCTGTAGTATTGACAATTATCGAGTCAATGTAAAAGTTGTTGATGTAGAATGCACTCCTAATGGTTAAAAACGGCATATATTTACAACTGAACTTGGATTGCCATACATATTTTTTATCATATTTAGATATCTGCTGTTGTTATTAAGTAGGGCTGTAACAATATCAAAATCTCCCGGTATGATATTTTCACGATATACATCTCACAGTACAATATGTATGAAAATGTGAATATGTTACTTTTTTCTCTTAAAATGCTTTGACAAGTCTAAGGCCCCATCCACACTAGCACGTATTCGAGTCGTTTTCTTTGCAGATGCAGTGTTCGTCCACGCTAATCCGAAGGAAAACGACACTGTGTGGATGCCTGAAAACGTTAATACGCTGACATAGGAGCTCTAGTTGCCGTCCTTATTGGACCATGTCACTGTGATTTGCGCCTTCCTGATTCGCTGGGTTCGTGATGTGACGCTATTGTGGAAAACAGTTTAAACAAATCATAGACAAACGGGAAACAGCGTAGCTAGAACTACCAAGCTAGAAATAACATGTCTGGACACAAATCATTTCCGATACGGTGATTCGTTTCAGTGTAAACGTAACCTTAATCCAAAGAACTAAGATTTAAAAGTGTTTAGAGCGGTTATTTCTTAATGTAGTTTGCAGTGAAATGGAGCAAAGGATCATGGTCTGTGTAGTTCTGTCTGTTTTTTTGCCACTATTGCTGCAGAGAAACTTTTTCATTCAGTATATTCTAATGGCCGACGATATTATTTGAGAGACTTTTGACGATATGATATCACATATTTTGGTTATTGTTACATCCCTATTATTAAGTGTTACTTCTATCTACAATTCTTTTACCATTAAGGGCAAAAATTATTGTAGCTCTATTAGGCGTGTCAGGAAACAGATTTTGTAGCCTGATATATTTGTACAGAGATATATTGAGATAATAAAAGATAATATTGAAACTACTTCATGCCTTTGGAACAATAATAAAGCAGGATATTCCCAGTAAAGCCTTTTTAAATAGACAATATCATTAAAAGTCCTGAGCTGCAACAAATAAATAACAGAATGTACTATTATGTGTCAATAATTTGCCATAAAAGTCACTTATTCAATCTTTTACAGCTCAAATGTAATTATATACAACAAAAACACCCCAAATCTCCCCACTTTTACAGAGAAATTTACACAAGATAAATATTGAACCTCAAAATATATAGTTCCAGCTTTCATTGAATGATAAGTTGATACACCTTTCACTGTGACAGGTCTAAGCACTGTTTAAAAGAATAATCCAGTTTACAGTCTTAGTGATTTGCATTATTTTTTTCTATTGTAATAAAAGAACCAATACTGTTCCCGAGGTCTGTTCACTCTTTGTTATTTCATGCTGATTTCTGGCTGCCATGATTTGACTCATAGATCATAATTTACATTTTGCGTCACGTCCCTGTATAGGCATTCCTGGGAGCGACTACATCAACGCCAACTACATCGACGGCTACAGGAAGCAGAATGCGTACATCGCCACCCAGGGCCCCCTGCCAGAAACCTTCGGAGAGTTCTGGAGGATGATCTGGGAACAGAGGAGCGCCATTGTGGTGATGATGACGAAGCTGGAGGAGAGGTCCAGGGTAAGGCACATTATGTTACTGTATCAATGAGCTATGAAAGGGCTCATCTTATGCTATTTTGGGATCTGTGTTATAATGTTGTTTACTCTTACCTGGAGTTGTGTTTTGTTTCATTCACAGGTTTAACCCTACATGTTTAGGCTTAGTTTTTCTCTCAAACCGAAAACAATGTTCTACCTTGTGATGCCATGTGGTTATACAGGAAGTGCTCCACTGTGTTTGTAAACTCCATAAACTTCCACTAGAATGATTTCATCCTTGTGACTGCCTATCTCTACTAAACAAAAGGTAAAAGGTAGCTGTTAACTTGAAAATTACCACTACATGAAATCATAAGGTGGAACAGAGCATTTTTTAGCTTTGGAGATGTAGGCAGACTAAATAAAGAATTACTCAAACATGTGTGAATGAACAAAACACAACTCCAGGTATGTTTTTGAAGAGGTAACTACATTCTACCATGGCTTAAAGCTCACAAGAGTCACTTTTCTGTAATATAGGACCTTCAAGACTGTATATAAATGTCCCAATCACTTTACTTTAAATACCTTCCTGACATCAAGGTTGTCATGATTAATTTGCATTATTATGCTGAATGCTTTTCTTAACTTAATTTGTGCACTTTCTTTAAGATGACATAATTTCTAAAGAATTTCCACACAAATTATTCAAATGTGATGTAGATGGAAGATGATTTCAGAGGAAGCATACTGAATTTACACAAATATATAAATATAAAACTTATAACTTTAATATGTACTATATTATATATGTACCGTGTGTCTGTGTGTGTGTGTGTGTGTGTGTGTGTGTCTGTGTGCATTGTATTAGCTCCTCACTATGGCCATTGAAATGAAGGTCATACAAATATACCAGTATACAGAAATGACTTCAATTGACCTAGTTTTTATTGGTAGTAACAGTTTGCAAGTGACATTTACATACTTGCTGTGTGGTCTACCAATTCTAATGCATTAGCACCAATGCCTATTCATTTCGATTAAAGTCCCATAATGATGTATATAATGGCCCATTGAGCTTTGACCACTATACAAGAAAATCATGTGTGTTTTTGCATGGATGAAAGCTGCAGTGGCGTGTTCACTGTATTCAGTCCACACTCCTCTAAGGTCAGTGCAGTCAGAAGGCTCACTGGGCTCCATAAGCTCCTGACCTTCACACTTATACAGGCTGTCTCGAGCAGCGGGCTATGTTAACAGGGACACCGACTCAATTCAGAGGAGAGGAACAATGTACAAATCCAATTCTGGAAAGGGAGGATGGTGCGTGAAATGTAAACATGGAGAAATTGATCTGTTATAGAACTTTTTAGGGAGGATAGTTTTCCATTTTGTGAAAATCTTACGCAGATGTTATTGCTTTGCCTGGGATGTTCATCCATCTTGCATTATTCAATTACATCAGTTTTCATTGTTACACATATCTGAGAAATCATGCACTCGTACTGTGAGCGGGATTGTAATTGTAACTCTACCTGTGGTGATGGATAGACATGTTTAATGCCATACTGTGGAACATTCCAGTGGCAAAGCAATTACATATTCATCAAAACAAGCAAGAGGCAGAGCCCCCTAGAAAGGACTGTCACAATAAGTACTAAATTGACTTATCATTCAATACATGATAGATAGAACAATAATTTTTGTGGATCAATATTTATTGTGGGGACATTTTCTTTTTACTAGTGGGAAAAGTTTGGTTATTTTTCTGTACTATGATGAGATTTCAGCTGTATTATGACTCATTATAGACACAAACTAACTACTCAAATGTTGCCTTCTGCTATTTATCTGTTGATTTATTTATAGCAGCTCATATTTTTTAACAACATTGTACATTTAGAATAGTTTTTGGGGATAATTCTACTTTATGGTTTGGTCTATATTTACTTCAGCAATATATCGCACTTCAGAATTTGTAGTTGTTGACCTTTACAGTCAAAAGAATCTAAATTCAATAAATAATCATGTGTAACGTGGTAAAATTTGAACTTTGAAATACTGCTTTTAAAATGTATACAATAATGATGTATACTAGGTAACTTTATTATTAAAAATATCTATATAATAAAGTTTGTTATCCACCATTTCTCATAATGCTGTATTCTAAACTTTAATTGAGAGATTGTTTCCATTTCGTTTCCTTTTGACTTTATGCATTGTTCTGACATGTTTGAACAGGGTTGGTACAAATGGGAGAGAAGTGTGTAAAAGTTGTCAGTTACAGTGGGAGTGTGATTCTTGGCTCCATTCACTATAATGTTCTCTATGACACAGCCTGATCCACTCTTATCATTACGGCGTTTGACAGCTGGAGGACATAATGTGCTTTTGTTGGCTCTAACAGCCCCTGTCTTTTATATTAATCAGTGGTATCATTCACCGAGAAGCACTCAAGCTGTCTTTCTACGTTTTGCATATCCATAGCTCTATTATGAATCAATTTAGCTGCATTTTATTGCACCTGGCGTCAATGCTACAGCAGCAGCTGATGGAGGTAGAATGCAAAGTAATCTCTCCGTCTACACATCTATCTATCTGTCTGTCTGTCTATCCATCAATCATTTATTCAATTAGTGCTGTTTTATTGCTCTGAAATACCTTGGAAATCATGCATTCTTACTGTGAGAAGAAATCTGACACTTAACTTGGCGCGACGGTGTCACAAAACATGTACTAAACATTCCAGACAAAGTAAGAGCAGCTCCATGTAGACAAACTGGTGGCGGACCCTCCAAAGAAAAGCTACATGACGCACCTTTAAATTTTTCATTGTTCTTAACTACTACTTTAATTATGTAAATGTTTACTACATATGGCATTTTCGTTCTTTCATCTTTGAAGCAGATTTGTAGACTTACCTTAAATAACACATTCATGGGTTTTTCCCAAGCCCCGAGGTCTAAAAATGGCCGCCTATTCAACTCAATGGGCCGAGCTCAATGGCACATGACTCTAGATTAGCCCAGCCCGGCGAGGTACTTCCGGTGGTAGGAGTGTTCTTTTCTCCCGCGGACACACGCGAATGCACGAGAGCACATGCACGCGAGCATATGCACGGAGCGCGGTCTCATGTATCATGTGATCACTTTGACCAATCAGAGAGAGAGGAGCTAAAGCAGATCCGGAGCTAACGATTATAAAGCGTTTTTTTAAGACAACTGAAGGATTTTGAGCTGAGAAAAAAATGTATGATTTAAAAATAGGTAAAAATCACAACAAAATCCGACATTTTTCAAAGTTGTCGGTGCCCTGTCAGCCGAACACGAGCAGTTTTTGATTACATTGCGCTCTATGAGAAAAATTCTTTCTCGGACCAGGGGATTTTTTCGCTGTAGTACCAGTGAGTGGCCACTACATCAACTGGAGGGAACTAGCAGCTAGTGATACCTCATCCGGTTTAATGGATCCATGGTTTCAACTTCCTGTTATATGCAACATTTTGATGACGTCTTCTCAACCAAAAGATATAATATTTAGTTTTATATTGTTAATTACTATGGCAACGGCCCTAAAGTCGTCATTGTGAAACCCATGGACAGTGTAAATACTATAGCTCAGCCTTTCACATGTTGATTCACACATTGGGTTTGAAGGACCCACAACCGTTCAAATCACACCAATTGAACTGTGGGCACTTATTTCCTCAACAGAACCGCGCTCTCTCTTTGGCAGCTCCGGTCAGTGCTTTATTGGCTGCTCTCTGGGAAACAAAGCTGTGTACTAAAAAAGCAATAAAGCCCAGCCTGTTATGCGATTGGAACGTGTGGTTACTCTTGTAATTATAGAGTGGCAGGACAATTTATAACAATGTCAGATCTATAAAAATTTCTCAAACCATTGCATTGATTTTAAAATCCAATAGTCAGCGGGCAGCGGCTGATTCAGGGAATTTATTTGCACGTTATTTGTTTAGAAGTGTGAATTAGCTTCCCCTCTGGTTGTGTGTGGATATTTGTCACTTTGTGGTGACAGAAATCAGTATATGCACTCAGTTCATGGGGATCTGCCCCCTTTATGGTCAGGTCCCAATGCCCTAAAATCCTTTGTTATTAGAGAAGAAAAAACATGAATTAAAACTAAAGATTCACTTTGTAACTTTTCTGATACGCCACCAGATTGTCTCCGTGGAGATGTTATTGCTTTGCTCTGAACAATCCACAGTATGGCATTAAACGTATTGACCTCCATGGAGACGAGCAGGTGATTCTAAAAGTTATAGGTCAGTTCTGTGAAGAGGTGATCAATATCAAACTGTGTGTGTGTGTTTTTATGGCATTTTTGAGCAATAAAACACGTCCAACTGAATAAATCACAGACAGATACATTAGGTTACGGTTTAAAGGTTTAGACAAGAAATAACTTTGGTTAAGGTTAGGTCAGTCTCCACGAAATGATTGTAAGTCAATGTAATAACATAATCATAAGACAAGTAAACCCAACATATATGTGTGTGTTTGTGTGCGTGTGGTCTAATGGTTCTTGTTTTGGGTCCACTCAGGTGAAATGTGACCAGTACTGGCCCACCCGAGGCACAGAGACCTACGGCCTCATCCAGGTCACTCTGCTGGACACAGTGGAGCTGGCCACATACTGCGTCAGGACGTTTGCGCTTTTCAAAGTAAGGACAACTTCACATATTATTTACTAAAGGTAGAATAATTTTGGTTTGGTTGATTTGAGTTGTAAGGTCAGTTTAGTTTAAACTGTAGGGATTGTTCAGGAATATTAACTACAATACAATAATCACATTTCAAAACATGTTTACTGAGGGTTAAACTACAGGGTTTATAGCATTTATACAGGATTTAGTACTTAAATAATTGCTGTCTTTGTAATTTGATAAACAAAATTTCAATTGCGGTTTCCATTTTACTGCGATATATATATTTAAAAATGCTAATTTGTTATATAGTGAGTCTATAAGAGGTAAGAGACGTAAAGCTAATTTGGACCATGCTCCAAGTATAGTGAAATGTTTCAAGCACTAATTGCTAATAAACTAGACTAATTTACTCAATAATGTTTTATGTTTACCAATAAACAGGCTCACCTTATGAAAAGGTCTCTTGGGTAATAAAAACAACATTCTTTCCAAATTGTGGCTTAAATGGACCAACAAGCCTTCTCTCTTAAATGTTTACAACAAATAGCAAACTATTTAGCCAGAGGGAGAATGACCAATTTGCTGCTGAACTGTCAGACTGCAGATAATTTGACCTGGGTTATGATTCACATCTTTGTAATTACTAGGCCTATCCTCATGAAACAAAACTGGCACAAAATTTTACGCCTTCAATGTCAGAACAAATAACAAAAGTCAAATACCGTATTTTTCAGACTATAAGGCGCACTTAAAATCCTTTAATTTTCTCAAAAATCAAGTGCGCTTTATAATCCGGTGCACCTTATGTATTAATTCTGGTTGTGCTTACTGACCTTGATCCGATTTTATGTGGTATACGGTGCTCAAAAATCTGTAGAAATACTTTATTATGACACAGAAAGTAACATACATATTCCAGGTCCTTTAGTCCGACAGAAGCTGACCACATCAGTACGCAAGGAGCAAGCTGTTTTTTCAGCTCTTATAATTTATACAAATTAGTCATGTGGTTTTAAGTTTTGTTTCTGTAAAACGTAAACAAATGTGCATAAAGCTGCTTTAAACACATTATTACTCAATGTATATTTGAGTCTTTCTCAAAACAAACTTAAATGATCCACCCACATTCACATTCATACAAATTCACCAAGACAGGGAGGCAACGCCGGGTGAATTACGCCACGATCTGCCAATGGATCATGGACGTCTGGGCTAAGGGATCAGTCTTAATCAGTCATTTGTTTCACTTAATGCGCCTTATAATCCAGTGCTCCTTATGTATGAAAATAGACGAGAGAATTCAACATCATTGATATTGCGCCTTATAATCCGATGTGCCTTATAGTCTGAAAAATATGAGAAAGTTCAGGGTGTTCAGAAAGTGATGCCATGTTTCAATACCAAAGACATGATTTGTTGTCAGCTAAAAGAACTATAAGCCATAAGGTAAACAAGGCTAGTTTGTGGACCCAATCCCTAACAAATAATAATCATCAGTTTGGTTATATTGGCACTAAAATATTACATCAAATTCTCAAACACGAACTCAACCTATTGACCAAACATTTGCATATACAGTTCTGCTAATATGAATAAAGACTGTGGTGATCTCTTACCTCTGCGTCACTGTGTTCAGAATGGCTCGAGTGAGAAGCGCGAGGTGAGACAGTTCCAGTTCACCGCCTGGCCGGACCATGGCGTCCCCGAACACCCCACTCCTTTCCTGGCCTTCCTCCGGCGAGTCAAAGCCTGCAACCCTCCAGACGCCGGGCCCATGGCTGTACACTGCAGGTGAGACCAGCAATAAGAAACTATACACTGTTTTTTCTATTTTTTCCAAGAGCAATACTGCAGTTTTACATGACTTCACAACATCATATTGTCCTATCTTATCTCATATCTTTTTAATATACATTTTTTGACTATTCAGATAGCAATCCAACAGATGTACTAAATTGTGCAAAAAAATACTTTCTATATACCCTTATTTGAAAGACTTTTTAATCAGCTTTTTCACAGCCTTTTAATAATTTATGTTGGACTACATATTCAGTTTGGCCCCAAAACAACAATTTCTGTCCAATTACTATCCATTTTACAATATTTCTTATGAATATGCAGATTATTTTTGGTCTAGTCACCGGTATAAATGATCAGGTTAAACATTTTGGGGTTTTCCCTTTGAATAATTCCTATAAAAAAATAAAAATACCATGTAATCCATCAAAAAACCTGCCCTAATCTGGTACAATGACATCACATCTGCAGCGAGAATTACATTCAGTGAATAATATGAACCAAATTTGTCTTGTTTAAGATTGACGGGAAGTACTGTGACCTGCTCTAAACCCACAGACTACCCCACTGGCTTTTGCGACTGCATTTTCAAATCTCAAGGTGTTTTCCACATCAGAGTAGCTGTGTCTTTGCCCTGAGCGAACCTTAAACATCTCCCTCCCACGAAGCCCCTCGCAAATACTACAACAGCGCTAGCATGTCACACAGCAGCAGCACCAGCCCACAAGCCCAAACTTCTCCCCTAGGTTATTTCTTCTTAAACAAATAACTTTTTTGATGCCAACTTTACTTTTTCCCATCTTCTGAACGCGAGGCCAGACTCCCAGCTGGAAGAGGCCATGACATGCTTCTGGCTATGTAAAAGAAAGATAGAAACGGCTATAAAATGGTAGAGATACAAAACCCATGTCCGGAAGCGATAAAATGGAAGGGGGATTACGCCAAAAGCCGAATTACCACATGCTGAAGTTAATTAGTGGAGTTGACCAATCTCTTCAAATTGAAAAGCCTGACTTGAACAATAAAAGAAAATGTAGGATTTGATGTCACTATGCAGATGGGAGCTGCTAATTCCTCTGGCATCACATCAGATAAGATTCCCAGCTACAAATCCTATAAGTACTGCTTTGCTAAATCGGCTATCTTTACACAGTTGCAGAATTTTGTCATTTGCAGTTACATACCCCATATATTATTTGCTTCAAGAAATGACATGGATGGTGATTTCATGTACTTTTATTTAGCAGCGTGGCACTTGGACTCTTGAGCCGTTGATTAATTAGCCAGTGCAGTAAATTATATGAAAAGGCCATGCAATATAAAAAAGAAGCAATCGCAACTTTGATTTGTGGAAATGGCAAAGAGCTACCGTATGGGGTAAAGTTGTTATGAGAGAAAGGAACAGTCTACTAATGAGTAATCATTGAGTGTTTTTAATTAACCTCGTTCAATCAAGTACCAATCTATTTTATTTTTCTTGAAACTTAAGCAGTAATGTATAGCAAAGGCAAAGGCATATGGTGGAGAGGCTCATGATTGGGGATGTAACAATAACCAAAACTCTCAGTCTGATGTTCTCACGATATACATCTCACGGTACGATATTTATTGCGATATTTTGTGGAGGCAAACAAAACTGTGAATATGCTTGTTATGACCCAGCTCGTTGGGGTGAGGGAAGTAAAAAAAAAAAAAAAAAAACAGATGTTAAATGGAATAAATTAAATAATGTTTAATTAACAAGGATGTAACAGGTAAATTAGCAAAACAGACTAAAATATACAGACATAACCTAAATAAGAAACAAAACAACAGTCTTGTGCCACAAAAGGGGTCATGCAGGCTTAAAAAAAAAATAATAATAATAATAATAAATGAGTGGTTAACTAAGGGACAGACACAAACTAAAACACAAGTTCCCCAAATTGAACCAGATAAGCCCACAAACAGAAATGAGTGTCCAAATTTTAAAAAGGCACAGAACAGAACTAAACCATAGAACTAGACACACACAAACACGAACACAGGTGAACAGGTGCTGACAATTTCCTTAAATAAGGGGGAGGAGGCAGGAGGTGTGGCAGGATTGGCCAGGTGTAGAATTAATCCACCAATCAGGGACCAGGGCAGTCACAGCAGGATTCCAGGGGAACAATAAAGAAATTAAAACACACACAAAACTCAAGGAACTGCAGGCCTGGAGCTGTAACAATGCTACTTTTTCCTCTTAAAATGTCTTGACAAGACTTAACCCAAAGAACTAAGACTTAAAAGTGCTTAGAACTGTTATTTCTTCATGTAGTCTACACTGAAATGGAGCAAAGGATCATGGTCTATGTAGTTCCCTCGGTCTTTTTTTAGCTGTTGCTGCACCAACTTTTAATTTAAGCAAAGAAACCACGATATTACTGTGAGAACTTTGACAGTACAATATCACGATATTTCGGTTATTGTTACATCCCTATTGGTCACTTATTATTTACAAATAAAATCAGATTTCAGTTATTGCTTCCCTCATGAATTCTGCAGAAGTTACTTGTGTTTTTCTGTTCTCAGTGATATTCTTTCCTTATTAGTCACATTCTGGATCCCAAGCAATATTTTTGGTCTATTGTAGTGATAAAAAGTTTAGTTTTTAGTTTCACAATAAAAAATGGTCCTTTGGGGTAAGTAGAGGGTTTCCTTGCCCAATACAATTTTATTAAAACTATGTGGTCTTCTGCTGATAAAGATCCAGACCCTTTTCCGTACAGTGATACCTGCTCAAAAGACTACCAGCTTTAGTATCAATTAGTATTTGAGTTTTTTTTTTTTTTTTTTTTTTACAACCCTAGTCACCGAATATGCTTTTTGTAACAGTATATTGTATTTAGTGGCCATAGCTAATCACAAAGTACCCCGTGCTCCACTCTGCATCAGGAGAGAGGGATGTAAAAGCTGCTTCTTAGCAACAGCAGAGTGTGTTCTCTACCTTGGTTCTTAGTTCATTGTGTTTTCCACTAACCCACGGGTCACGTCTGTTTTGCTCCTTTAGCTAAAGGCCTAGCGAGCCGTCGGCAGGGCACAGCACAAGTCAAAAGGACATGATTGAATGCTGGAGAGATCAGTGGCCTTACGCAGCCATTGGAAACGGAAAAAAAAAAAAAAAAGTTTGTCGGATGGAGTTGTCTTAGCCCCAACACCCTGATGATGTAGCCTACAATAGTCTGTAACAAAAGACGAGCAAAATCATCTATAAACATTTTGCAAAGTTTTGAGGCACAGCTAAATATTAATGTGGACAAATTATTTAAAATGGACCTTTAAATCACACTTAATGTTTTTGGATAATAGTATTTTTCATGTTCGCGTAATCCTGTATTTGAGGCTTGAGTGCTCAGAAAATCTATCCCCAATCTCTATGTATGTTAGTTTCATACTAAACACCAGAAACATTTCTTAATTTCAGTTGCTGTATAATTATTCTTATTTTTAGCTGACTGCTCACTAGATCTACAGCTCCAATCATTTACATGTATTGCATTCACGCAAGATTGTCTATAGATTAACACTTTGACTGTATATATTTTGATAATCATAAATTCTGAGCATTCTGGCAAAAATAGTGGCAGGTAAGCTGACAGCGGTAGATTCGCTAACAATACATGTGTAATTGCTTTCAGTGCTCCTCGTGCTTTATCTCCTTAGCGCTTATTGCAGCTGTATTCTACACTGTCCCTCTTTCTCTCCCATCCCGTATTCCCTCCACTCCTGCAAAGCATATTAGTCTGACACTTAATGTGTGTCGACTTCCAAAGCTGCTGGTCTTGACTGGCTGAAAAGGCACTGTCAGGTCATTAGTGCGGCCGCCTCACCAGCTTGCTCCCCCTTCAACTGCCAAATGTAGCGGCGCTCTCTGCTCCGCCTCACGCTAACACTTGTCCATAAAGAATATGTCCATGCTGCGGTTACATTGTGAGGAAATCGCTTTGTCCGTTGGAAGCTTTGGAAAATGTAGAAGTTGGAGGCAGAATCTCGTTGTCTCCTCCTCTGTGTCTCTGGAAGTGTCAGTCTGTCAGTGGAGCTCGCACAGGTCATCACTCTCACACACTCAGGAGCGCTGGGAAAATGTCCCCACATTTACAACAGCTGGAGAAGAGATTCCTCACAATGTGTTTTTTTACATGGCACACTTTTTGTGGCTTACATGAATTCAATGAACTCTAACTTGAATTACTATTATTTTATAGTTCTATATTATATAACACTTTTCAGCATAGCATATGTATACAGTGAAAATAGATTTTCATTTGACTTTAATAAATCTGTAATAAATACTACTGCTGATGCAAAGCTTCACATTGTACTGCTCATGGAAAGATCTTAAGCGTGTAGGTAATGTCAGCCATTTTGAAAGTGATCAGTGGATCGTTTGTTAAAGCCAATGAGTCTCACATGTGTCTTTAGTGCAGTCTCAGAGCAGCATGGCACATTAACCAAACCTCGCCTCAAGGGACCAACTTTCCTCCCTCTCGACTTTCTCTTTGCAAGCCTCTGCCTGTTCCTCGGAGCAAATGAAAAACAAATGCTCCATCAGAAATAGAAAGCGTCAGTAGAAGGCTCATACCTCGTAGGCATGTCAGCTTAATGGATTGAATAACCTATTTACTTTGGAGCACCAAGTGCAAGGACTCCTTGTCCTGTGAGTGTTGGAGGAGTTAACAAACGGGGAGCACAGTAGTGTCATGCCCACGGTAAATAAACTGTCATCACAAAACATCTTTGTTGCTGAGGCATGCACTAATAAAACTAATGTGCTTGGCTGTGGGATTCAGATGTCAGCAGTAAGCCAACGACACGTCCAACAAGCTCGTCTTGAGCTGTTGCACCAGTCGAGGTCAAAGAGCCATCAAAAACATTTCCATATTTTGAGCCTAGTTGCACTTGATACACTTCAGTGTCTAAATGAATAATATAAGTTTTTATTGGTTATGAAATAAAGATGTACTACCTACTTTACAGCTGTGAGAACTTCCACTTTAAGGGTCAGTAAACAAATGACTAGTCAAACCTTCGAAACATGTCTTTGAGCTGTCGCTGGAACCGAGGTCAAAGCCAAGATGTAAAACATTTCCCTGTTCGTCAGAGTGCTTTTTATGCTCTTTACGCGCTAATGTACAAATGTGAATCTTAATGAAGAGACCTGCCTTTCAGCGCCTCTCCCACAGCTCTTATGCCATTTGGTGCACGCCGCTAATCTAATGGCATTAATTAAAGTCAGCTGCACTTCTCTGGAGTTGCTTGGACGCATTAATAAAGCTCGCCAAAAACCATAGCCTCCAAAATTGCATCTGTCTATCCACTTTTGTTGTTGTATTCGTTGTAGTGGCACTTTCCTGAGAGAGCGGAGATAAAGGTTAAATGTTGCCGCTGCATAAGTGATTAGCCCTGATGGGTTTGAGAGCACAGGTGGGATCCGAGGGGGAAGATTTGAACTGAAAAAAGCCAGAAGCAAGCAACACACTGAAGGCTGCAACTGCCAAGAACTCCTCTGCACACCAATCCACTTCAGATTTAATTACAGCCAGAGCCAAGCGGTCAGTCCTACGGAGACTCTGCTGGCAAAGAGTTAAGCCTCCTGTTTGGACTTATCACCAGGTGCAAGGGACTTCTTCAGGTGAATGTGTTTAGCAATAGGTCCAATCTCACAGGGCAGAAGATGAAAGAAGTGTTCCTCTGACTTCCGCCATAGAGTGTGTATTTTCGCTGCGTAGGATAGTAAGTGAAAAAGAACACCGCAAACAATAAAGAGAAGTTTAAAGTTATCTAAATTAATAATATTTATAATTTATAAAGTAAAAGAAAAAACTTGAAATCAAATCTACTAAAAACTTGATTAGATGCTACTAACTTTATATACTGAATATGTTGTATTTATTATTTTTGTACAGTAATAAATGAGACTAATGTATGTATAGAGATTGCGATTAGATTAGAGATTAGAGTTTGAAAAGTAGGATTCTGTTCAGAGAGCACATCGTAAACAACTCCACATTACACTGGTACATGTTACTAGGGTCTTGTTAGTTGATGTAAAGAGCATTTTCATGGGTAAATTAATTAAGATATACCAATATAATTTTAAAAATGTTTATACATAATGCACATTTTCTGTCGCCCTCTTTCTGCAGTGCCGGCGTGGGTCGCACAGGCTGCTTCATCGTGATTGACGCCATGTTGGAGCGCATCAAGCACGAGAAGACGGCGGACATTTACGGTCATGTGACGCTAATGCGAGCTCAGAGGAACTACATGGTGCAGACAGAGGACCAGTACGTCTTTATACATGACGCACTCTTGGAGGCCGTCAACTGCGGCACCACCGAAGTGCCCGCTCGAAACCTCTATGCCTACATCCAGAAACTGACGCAGATAGAAGGAGGGGAGAACGTCACCGGCATGGAGCTGGAGTTCAAGGTAAAGGCAAAGATTAGTTCATGTGAATCAAGGCAACAGTGGGTTTTGTTCTGGACACTGTTCCCAAGCCATTAGGTCCATGAGACAAAATGGGGCCTGTGGTTTTCCTTTTGCCAGATTTTTGACTCACTGTATAAGCCAAGTCAGTCCAATATACTATGGTTTTTGTCTGCTGGTTTGTCCCTGTCTTATGCCTGCATAAAGCGGCTCTTGGTTTACAAATGAAATGCCAAACATAGGGTTAGACTTCCCAGACGACAGTTGCCAGAAGAACTCCGGCAGTACACAGTGTATTTACAATAAGGATGCATTTCAAAGCAGTTTACGGTCTGGGGTTGGACTGTGATGCCTCTTCCGTCAAAAATCTGTCATATGTTTTGATGGATTCCATTAAAGGATGATAAAAGATCAGATTAAACTGCGCCTTTGTCCACTCATGTCTGGCCTGGATATCCGTTTCCCTGACGTTTTATCATAGAACATTTGTTCTCCTGCTCCATCTGACACACTCTGATAGTAATCTCTTACTAGTTCCATACTTCATTTTTTTTTACATGAACAGTGTCAAAGCAGAATAAAACACAAGGCAGTAGTGTGTAAATTTCATCATCTTCTTAATCAGCTTTGGATTCTCCTCACTCGGCTTGTGACTCTTCATAGGACTCATATCTTATCTTGTTCAATCCGCTCAGTGTGTCAAACACAGACAGTCGCTGGGGAAATAAAGAAACAAGAGCAATGCCACTATGTCTTAGCTCAGACTGCCTCTTTAACTGGAGCATTTCTCTCTCTCTCACAGCGTTTAGCAAACACTAAAGCCCATACATCGAGATTCATCAGTGCCAACCTACCATGCAACAAGTTCAAAAACCGCCTTGTTAATATTATGCCATACGAATCCACACGAGTGTGTCTTCAGCCCATACGAGGAGTCGAGGGCTCCGACTACATCAATGCTAGCTTCATCGATGGCTACAGGTGCGTGACAAAGTCTTGTTAGTTTCACCACAGCAACTGGCAAAATACAAACTATTATATATTTCAGTGGATCTGACATACAGCCTCTATTATTGCGCTGTTTCCCCAGGCAACAAAAAGCCTACATTGCCACACAGGGGCCGCTGGCAGAGACCACTGAGGACTTCTGGAGGATGCTCTGGGAGCACAACTCCACCATCGTGGTCATGCTAACCAAGCTTAGAGAAATGGGCAGGGTAAGTTTGTAAAACACTTTACACAAGAATTTTCAATCATCTCCAAATGCATGCAAATGAAATAAACACAGGACAATGTGAGAAGAGGACTGGTTTTAAAGTGGTGCTATTGTTCTTTCCACAGGAAAAGTGTCACCAGTACTGGCCCGCAGAGAGGTCGGCCAGATACCAGTACTTTGTGGTGGACCCAATGGCCGAGTATAATATGCCCCAGTACATCCTGAGAGAGTTCAAAGTGACTGACGCCAGGGTAAGAAAACACAGACTATTTAATGTGACCGCAGTGGTTACTATTTATTAGGTGTGAAGACATAAATCACCAGCTCTGCTCCTATTTGTTATGTTTCTAGTTTATTCTCATTCAGAGCCTGCCCTTTAATGTTTGGCTTTCCAAAGACTTGGATGTAATTTGCCTTTGCCTTTAATGAAGCTGTTTTAATGGTTGGCTGCTAAATGCCCTCTGTCCAAATGTACTTATGCGGGATTCATTAACTCCAAATGTGGCATATTTGTTTACACCAGAGTATGGCCTTAAGTGTAACATGAACATTAATACATATTTATGAAAAGATGACACGTGTCAATGTGTAAAAACAAATGGAGCCGGCAGCGAGGAGCTGCCAGACTTTTAATTCCATCAAAGGCTTCCTTCCTTTGTAGTGCACGTTAACACTCTTCTCAATAGGATATTTTCCTTATCAAGGGGATACAATATCACATACGTAATAGACTCTGCTTAAAAGTTGATTTTGTAAATACCCTGACAGGGATGGCCCATCAAAGGAATTAACATCTTTAGTCTTTATACTTAACATATTCAAGGAAAACGAGTCGCATCTTTGATGTAAACCTTTTATGTTGTGAACTCCTGCACCTCAGTCGCACTCAGACAAATATGATGTGTCTAGTCTGCTTGAAGTCTAGTCTGCTTTTCTCATTTGTGGTTTGTCTGTTCTCAGGACGGCCAGTCACGGACGGTAAGGCAGTTCCAGTTCACAGACTGGCCCGAACAAGGAGTGCCAAAATCAGGAGAGGGCTTCATCGACTTCATTGGCCAAGTGCATAAAACGAAAGAGCAGTTTGGCCAAGATGGGCCTATTTCGGTCCATTGTAGGTAAGCAACCAGCCACAACAGTCTACAGATTTTATAATAACATTGGTAGTGATAGGTTTTCATTGTACTGACCTGCTGTCTATCACACAGCGCTGGTGTGGGGAGAACCGGCGTTTTCATCACACTCAGCATCGTGTTGGAGCGGATGAGATACGAGGGCGTAGTAGACATTTTTCAGACCGTCAAAATGTTACGGACGCAGAGACCAGCGATGGTTCAGACAGAGGTTAGTCCAATGTTATAATATAATACTAACATGGTCAATCAATGTCTGTTTTATCATGTACATACAAATCATTTATAAAAGGAATTCTTGTTGCAGATTAACTATGGTATGTGCTTCATATAGTTCCCAGTTGTTGTATTTTTAATCTCCAAGGACAAGAAGCACAGTTAGCAAGCAGACAGAATCGCGCCAATTATGCAGAAAAAAGCACTATGGGACTACAGTGACAGACACCCTGATCTACTGAAGCTAAATGACTGTGTTCTTTGTTTGCAGGATCAATACCAGTTCTGTTACCGTGCCGGCTTGGAATACCTGGGAAGCTTTGATCACTATGCAACGTAAGAGAGCCAGTACTGGGAAGACAAAAGCAGAGAGGGCCCTTCGGATAAGCAGCAAGCCTCTCTACTGAGCCATAAATTCCTGCTTCTGAAAGAACTTCTTAACTCCTTGCTAACAACTCATTGTGTGTTGGATGTGACGTCAAAAAATACAAAAAAGTTTATTACCAGAGGACCAAGTACAATATAACCCCGACAAAACTTGCCTAGTCGCAAAGTGTTACGAATCCTGACTGTTGAAGCATCTCACGGATCGGAAGTACCTTTTCTTTTGCTTCAAGGATTCATTTGGGAGAGTCATGAACCAACACAAAAAAGTTTAACGAACTCAAAATGCATCAGTGATTATGAACCATTAACGAGAGGTACGGAGGGACACCGAACTGCTGGGGAGGAAAAACTGAAAAATGCACATTGTAAAGAAAATTAACTCAATCAAATACATAACATTGAAAATAAAGAAGATGACAACACTGCTTGGTCCATGACAGCAGGACAAGTAATAATAATTCCTGTCACAATGTTCATCTTTCAAATGTGGGAGAGGGTCATCAGAGATCTATCAAACAAATGAAATTATTGATTTAGTTTTTTAGTACTTTATTATACAGCTGATATGTGCAGATTTCCTTTTTTACACAGAATTATCGCTTCGAATCAAGTGATAAATTGTATTATGTATTTTTTATTTTACGCTGTAGAACTGTTCTGACATATGTGCGTTTTTCGGCAGAGAATCTTTTCGCTTTTTATGTTATTTTCCTCCTTCACTTTGTCGCACTTATAGGAATGAAATTTACTACCAAAATGTAACAATTTAGTATTATTTTGTGGTTCATTTTTATGTTTTTGTCCATTACCATAATAGAATAACTCCCATAAATTTAAACCGGGCTTTGTGGAATCAACAGGGATGAGCAAAGTATGAAGCTGCTGCTATTATCTTAGTTCTTCCATGTAAGAATGATCTTAAGGGTTAACTTGATGTATTGGATAATATATGAGCATAGAAATATATACAGATGTTAAAAATATGTAATATATATGTAAAAGTATACATATACTATTTAAATATATTCATAAATGACTAATTTATATACAGAAAGATGTTTTAATGACGATTGTCTGAGAAGGTTTCCGTAAATTATGGGGGAAAAGAAGAGATACTTCACTGGAATGCACATCAAAATGTAATCCGAATGAGTGCATCTTTTCTTGTGCAATAAATGTGTTTTTTGATAGTTTTTATTTTTTTTTCCCATGACATTACAGTTCCCTTGTGCATCGCATCACACAGTCTATAATTAATTGGGGTTACGCAATAGGGCAAGGTACAGAGACCATCAACAAATGTTTCTTTTTGCATTTAGAGTGCCTTATATTTATGCCTGTTCTTTCTTTTAATGTAATCTAGATGTTAAGTGTAAAAAAAGTAGTTTATTTACATAGAGTATTCCTTTGTCATACGAGATTATATATGCAAATAAGAACATTTTCAACCTTTCATTTTCAGTGGCCTTATAGTGGCTGAGTGAATTAGAATAAGCTGTTTATATTTTTCCTGAACCTCCTCACCACACGAGGACGCAATAGTTTCCAGACATTTTCGGAGTTTTTTTGTTTGTTTTTGTTTTGGAAAATATAAAGATGATGATGAGAGGCAGAGGAACGCATTCAGGCCCTGGTTAAGATTCACACAAACGCCTCACCAAAGGGTTCCTTCTTCTTCATGCCTTAGGTTGCGGAGAGCAGAGGAAAAGAGAATAGTGACTGATTCTGTTAAGCTGACAATCCTCACGTAGCGTTGGAGAAATAACACGCGGTTTCGTTGGGTTTATTTTATGCTGTTTGATGGTTTTGGGGATGTGCATTCCAGGTGCTTTCTTTCCCTACTCAAGCCACTTTTATTTGTTCTGTCTGCTTAAAGGAACCCTATTATGCATTATCAGAGTTTTTAAGCTTATATTTTGTTTTTATCACACTGAAATTTCCTCGTTTAACATGTGTACGCCTACATAGTTAAAAATCTGATCACTGAAAACCAGAAATGTTACATAGCGGGCTTTAATCTACAAAGTGTTCGCCTGCTATCTTGGATTGACAGAAAGAATGGTAAAATCATACATAGCAATTATCAAAAGAAAGACAACTGCAATAAATATAGCATTTTTCTTAGTTAAAATTACAATTGTACAGTTCAAAAAAACTTGACAAAAGCATAATAGGGTGCCTTTAATGTTTTATTTTGGTCATAATTGTAAAATCAAAGTGCTGTTATGTATCGTCTCAAATGTCCATATTAGAATCTGTCTTTAAACATTGTCCATGTCTTGTTTTTGGTCGCATGCCTGACAAAACGTGGCCTAAGGTGGCCTGGTATCGGAAGATTTGCACTTTCTCTTATCTTTGTACTATGCACTGCCCTATTGATTCTAAACCCAATAATCTATTACTTGAACCCATCCATAAAAAGAAATTCAAGTTCACGTTGTGTGTATGTAAATAACACAAAAAGGTTATCAATTATCAACGAAAAAAGACAAAAAAAAAGACAAAAAAAAACAAAAAACATTTGTGGGTAAAAGAGCATCCGTCCTGATGCCATGGTGAACTCCAGCAGACGATTCTTCAGAGGATTTCTTGACCATTTTGTTATTGTGGCTCAAGCTTGGAGTGTCATTAACAGAAATAAACGTTGTGTTCTCTGCTCTCTCTATCTATCTCTCGTCTGGATGCATAGACTGATAAACTAAATAATGAAATTGTAAAAAAAATGGCTTGTTAAAAAGATAATACCTCTGATTAGTTGTAAGTTGTTTTATTTGAATGAAAGGAGTGCTTTTTATTTCTTACTTAGGTTCCATTGGTGGCGCGAGAACGTCTGTATGGAAATCAGTTCTTTGCTGACACAAGTTCCATTTGTTATAAATGAATTCTATTAAAAAATGTCAGTGTTATGCATCGCTGTTTCACTTGTTTCCCTCCACCTCACTTTAGCCGCCAAAGACTGATGAAGCTATTTTACCCCCTACTGGTCCGGCTCAACATATTAAAATCCACAGTTGGGGCTGAAGAGGAGATTTGAATAGATTTCCATTGGCTGGGTTGGGGCTGTCAGCGATGTCAGCTACATGAATTATCAGGGGAGCCTCGGTCTTGTCTCCACACACTCTTTGACAGTGTGTTGTGACATTACATTAGAACACATCCAACTAAAGCTTTGTACCACTCATCTCAGATATGATTATTCATTTGGAGAAACACATCTGTGATTTACAGGGAAATTAGTGGTAATGACATGTCTGTGTCATCATGAGATACTATAATCTAATACGACAACAGTTATCCATTACACTACATGTGCACGCTACATACTTCCGCTCGCTCGTGTGGGAGATCACAACATACAATCAAGTCTTAGTTTCTTAGTTTCTTAGTAGCTTCTTACTGCTGACATTTATTTCACTATGCAGTATGTAACCTTTCTTTACGGAAAGGGCGTCTCCATGGGGACAAGCCGATGAAGCCACATGTTACAGGTCAAATCCATGTGTTTTTTTGTTTTTGTTTTTTGTAAATCAAGAGTATTCAGCACTTTAATTGATAAATTCAGGACTAAAACTCAGAGATGGGGACTTGCAAGTTGTGACTTGGACTCTATTGGACTCTAAGTTGTGACTTGAGTCACTATTTTTAGGACTTGAGACTTGACTTGATAAAATGGACTAAGACTTGGTGCTCGATTTGGACTTGAAGGTCAGTGACTTGGGACTGGGCCTGTGACTTGAGAAGACTTGAGAAGCACTTTTAAATCTGATTTCTTTCTATTCTGACCATAATGATTCACTCTAACATCTTTTCAAAACATTTAAAAACATTTATATTTCAACAGCTCTTATGTACTCTATAAATACTCATATATAAATATACTATGATTTTTTTTTAAGTACAATTTAGTTTAAAATTCATATACATTCCAAAAATCTAAGCTATATTTGGTACTTTGGTTGAAAAACTTGAAATGACTTATGGGCCAGTGACTCGAGACTTGACTTGGACTTGAGGTCAAAGACTTGAGGCTTGAGACTTGCAAAACAACGACTTGGTCCCACCTCTGCTAAAACGATTACCACCTCCACAACAATCAATAACCTTCATGTCAGACGGGTAAATGGTTTAAATCAATGTTTCTCAAACTGTGGTACTTGTGTCACTGCTGGTATGTGGGCTGCCTCTGGTGGAATGCAAGGTCCTCTGCAGTTTGCGTATTTCTTTAATTTAGAGATAAATCTTCTAAAGTGTTTATTATTTACAAACTACCTCATGCCCATGGTTTAGTTTCATTTTAGACCATTTTAGTCTCATTGCAAAACAGGTTCATCTCTCATTTAGACCTGATTAAGTCCAAGGTTAGATCTGGTGGTACTTGGGAGGACGAATATTAAGTAAAATGTAAGTTTTGTATAAAAGGTTTGAGATTCACTGGTTTAAATCATTTTACAATACTATAGCTGAGGTCTGATGTGAAAAATTACAAAAAGTAACTGAATGTCTGAACGTTTTTTAAACAGACAAGCAATTATGAAATGCCATGGACAGTTTGAGTTTTATTATAAACTTTAAATTGTATACAAAAAATATTACTAATCCTAACATTTAATAGACTGATCATGAAAAAATATCTATTTGCTATGGAGGTCACATCAAACTGACTCATCAATCCTTTCATTTACTAAAACTAAACTCTGATACTCCTCTACCCACATGAACATCCCACACTTTACTGCACCGTACCTGCAATAAGGAACATTTCAAAAAACAATATCAAGGGCCTGACAGCTGGGAAGTGTTTGCAAGTCAATAAGTACTTGCCTGGAGAATTACTGTGCAGCCAGACTCCTCATATCCAATTAGAAAATATTATTGTGCACTATAACAAATGACAGATGGTGACAGGGCTGACGCGTGTTCCTTAAGTTGCGGTGAGAATGTGAGTACATCGATGTCAGGGCAGGAAGATGAGAAGAAACAAGAAAACACAAGGTACGCACAGGGGACATGTCAGACTTAGTTATGCAACATACTAGGACAATAGAGGATATTTTTATCATTTACTCGTGCTACAGAGACAGGATGTACTTAAGATTTAAACTGGTATGTGATATGACACCTAATCCTCGGTTTAATGCCGTTTCTCATTATAAACATGCCAGAGTTGTGTCTTGTTTCATCGTCTAATTGAATCTATCTTCCTCCTCACCTCAAATCACAAATCAAATTCAAGTACTTCACAAACACTGTATACATTACTGCTGATAATACAGTGAAAGACGTAAGCTCAGGTGCCAAAAAGTAGCATGAATGTGAATGTTTGTTTTTTTCCCCTTGACTTTTAGCTACAACCAGGTTTGGGTTAAATTATACATGAATACATTTTTAAAAAGTGATCTTGCATAGAAGTACTTTTTACCCAACAGAGTTAAAAGCATATTTAGTATTCACAAAAAGCATATTAAAAAAGTATTACCTGTTAAAACTAAAGCAGAGATCATTGTATGAATGCAAAGTGGTCCAAAATGAATTTCAAGTTACCTAGAAAAGTTACCTAGAAAAGTGAAAATTGCAGCAAACTATTAGAGAGTATATATTTATAAGTATATTTATTAAAACTAGTAGTAAAAAGACACTCATTTGTGAAGGTATCAGGTCACATTCACAGGACAGAAAAACCTGAAGAGCTTTACAGTAGAATCATCTTGAGCTGCATCAGACCAAGTATAAGAGCACATAGACTAGTGTACTTCCATGAACCACTATGGAACATACCTGGATGAATGAGGAATATAAAACTAGGGCCTGACTGATATGGATTTTTTTGCGGCCGATATGATTAAGTAGGAGTTGGAGCTGCCAATAGGTGATATAAAAGCCGATCTATTCAGTGATGTAAAAATTCACTATAAATCTTCAAGTGATTATTAAACTTAGGTCTGGCTCTACTGGATTTATTGTTATTCTACCTCTTTACATATTTACAGACAGTAGGTCAGCCTAATGGCATTTTTACATGACATTCTAGTCAGTAAAGAAAGTAAGTAAACTACCACCAGCCTTTAGTGGTAAAGGCATGGTAACGCACCGCGGTAATCCATTATATGCGTAAATGCCGATCATTCACACCTCTGTTCACAGCTCATTTACAGCTCATTTACATATCAATGCAGGCCAGTAAAATTTATACAACCACATAGTCACTTTACAGTAGGCCAATGTAAATCTAAACAGGCTGTTTATGTGTGTTAGCTACAGCAGCCAACCAATGAGAAAGAATGAAAAGTAGCTTCAAAAACATTTGCGACACTCACTGCTCACACAGGCTCCTCTCACATCACCAGTCTTCACAAAAAAGTGTCCTTTTAATCCCGACTCAAAACAATCAACCATAAATATAATATAATCTAGCATGTTGACAGCAGCTGCATGTGTAAACAAGCACATGTGAGTGACGTGATTCTGGGGGTGTGTTCAGGGGCAGTACCGTGTCACATACCCAAATTATTCTGCAGATAAATATTGATGCAGAGCCACATATTAGGACATGTATCTATCTGTAAATTGGATTAAATGAACATAATGTAGAGAGCCTAAGCTTTATAATGAGGTATAACATGCCCACGTGGACTATCGGCCCATATCGACAAGATTTAGGCCGATATGTGCCCACATCAGCCAATATCAGTCAGGCCCTATATAAGATCACGTGATAATATAAAAGAAAGTACTATTATTTAATGTTGAAAGTGACATTCTATTATCTAAACAAAGAGGAGTGGGTATTGAGTGTCGAGTGTATTCTTTAATATCGAAATCAGGTTTGACAACACTAAAGTATATGCATGTTCCACTAGTCCTAACGTCACCTCCTCTACTGCACGTACTACCACTATGTAAAATTACAATCACACACCACACAATTAGCACACCATTACCATTAGTCAGCAAACAGCACTACAGCCATTCACCACAGAGGTCAGAAGCACTTTAATTCATTCACGGTGAGATGTCTAACTTCCTCTGTACCTCATTAAGCATCAAACCTGTCAAAACGCCACGCACACTTCCTCTGCACATATTTGGGACATGACTTTCCCATCCGCCGTGTGCCAAAAGACCATTAGGATCGGCCATAATGAGCTGGAATAGACAGGCTGCCTTGGTGCTGGAGTATGGCATTACCGGCAGGCAGCGATTGCATGCGTCGTGTAGGAAAATGTCCGTAGATTACTGCATGGCATGAGCAATTATGGGTTTCTCCTGTTTC